AACGTCACTTCTGTAGCTGAAGAAATTCTCTTTTTTTTTTACCTGAAGCTCACTCTGCTTTTTTTTCAAGTTTTATAGAAAACTCTGGAAACCCTTTTTCTACAAACTCCCTAGCCAATAGTTCTTCTAAAAATGATTCAAAACCTTTCCCCCAGGTGGCACTGGGATCAAGTGTTAGGGTGGGTCATCAAGTTGATTTTGGATCCTCCACATTCTCACACTCGTCGAATTCCCACTCAATTTCAAAAAAGGTAATGATATTTTTTCAAATGATTATCTCTAATCTTCATTATCTATTATAATAGATAATAGAGCTATTTAGATAATAGCTCTTATATTATGTATAATAATATGTGATATTTCTTGTCTATTTTATCTTTTCTGCTCTTTATCACAATTTCACAGGTTCCCTCACATACTTCTAGAGTTGATCCAAACCCCAGTCGCAAGCTCTATGATCTTCCAGCTTCCCAGCTTCCCTGTCTTCTCCATCTCTCTCCATCTTCTCCAGCTTCCTCCAGCTTCTCCAGTCCCCCATCTTCTCCAACTTCTCCATCTTCTCCAGCTTCTCCATCTCCCCTCCAGCTTCTCCAGCTCTCCAGCCTCCATCTCCTCCAGCTTCCCATCTCCTCCATCTCCTCCATCTCCTCCAGCTTCCAGCTCCAGCTTCTCCATCTCTCCATCTCCTCCATCTCCCTCCATCTCCTCCAGCTCTCCATCTCCTCCATCTCCTCCATCTCCTCCAGCTTCTCCAGCTTCTCCAGCAGCCCATCCCCTCCATCTCCTCCATCTCCTCCATCTCCTCCAGCTTCTCCATCTCCTCCATCTCCTCCATCTCCTCCAGCTCCCAGCCCAGCTTCCCATCTCCCTCCATCTCCCTCCAGCTTCTCCAGCTCAACTCTACCATTTTTACCTCCAGAATTCACCCTTCTTACTCAGCTTTTATAATATATATATATATATATCTTTATAAATATCTTGCTGACATTATTTTTTCTAAAGCTCCACCCTTTAGCAGCTCCAACCTCATGTCTGACAAAGTGGTGGCGGGCTTTACGATGATCTTGTCTCATTGCTAGGGTTTGTTTAGCTCCTAAGAATCAATTTTTAAGTCTAATCTAATCTAAATCTAGTCTAAATCAATCTAAATCAATCTAAATCAATCTAAAAGCCAGTTCAGATCAGTCTAAATCAATCTAAACCTAGTCTAGATCAATCTCAAATCAATCTAAATCAATCTAAACTCAATCTAAACCTAGTCTAAATCAATCTAAATCAATCTAACCTAGTCTAGATCAATCTAAACCTAGTCTAGATCAATCTAAATCAATCTAAACTCAATCCAACCCTAGTCTAGATCAATCTAAATCAATCTAAATCAATCTAAACCTAGTCTAAACCAATCTAAATCCAATCTAAATCAATCTCTTCAAGAAATATCTCTAAAATTCTAGATATTTCTCCCCTAATCCCTTCACTAGAGATTTTCTCCTCGAAAGGTGGACTTTGTGTGGTGATTGATGGGAGAAAAGCGGCAGCGAGGATCTGTTCGGACTGTCTTAAGAGCTTGCCAGGTACGATTCGACTGTAAATAACTGGTTACTGTTATAATACCTGTTATTGTTCTTGTCCTAAATCCTCAAATCATTCCGAATCTTTAGCAAGCTTTATACCGAAAAGTCCGTTTGGCGATCATCGTTCAACCTTGAGCGTTTCCTTGACCAGCAGAAAATTCATTTCGATCTACTTGTTGAGACACATCAATTCAAGGTAAAAATTTACAGAAATCACTTAATTTTAAGATTGTATGTTTGTCTAAAGTAAAGGAAGCTAAGAGTACGATAGCTAAGAGTACTTAGCTAAGAGTACTGTAGCTAAGAGTACGATAGCTAAGAGTACGATATGCTAAGAGCAAAAGATAGCTAAGAGTACGATAGCTAAGAGTACGATAGCTAAGAGTACGATAGCTAAGAGTACTGTAGCCAAGAGTACTGTAGCTAAGAGTACGATAGCTAAGAGTACGATAGCTAAGAGTACGATAGGCTAAGAGTACGATAGCCTAAGAGTACGATAGCTAAGAGTACTGTAGCCAAGAGTAACGGTAGCTAAAGAGTACGATAGCTAAGAGCACGATAGCTAAGAGCAATGATAGCTAAGAGTACGATAGCTAAGAGTACGATAGCTATAGCATGATAGGCTAAGAGTACGATAGCTAAGAGTACAGATAGCTAAGAGTACGATAGCTAAGAAGTACGATAGCTAAGAGTACTGTAGCTAAGGAGTACTGTAGCTAAGAGTACGATACCAAGAGTACTTTAAAGCAGCCAAGAGTATGGTAGCTAAGAGTACTTTAAAGTAGCTAAGAGTACGGTAGCTAAGAGTACTTTTAAAGTAGCTAAGAGTAAGTAGCTAAGAGTACTTTAAAGCAGCTAAGAGTACGGTAGCTAAGAGTAATTTAAAGTAGCTAAGAGTACAGTAGCTAAGAGTACAAAGGGTGAACTCTAAAGAATTTTTGAGATTTAGAGCATTATCCGTGCCATTTTTCTAAGAGAGAACTTTGAGATTTGCTCTAAAACATGCTCCAGGTACCGTCTCTAACTGCATTTATTACTGGGATACAGTAGCTAGAGGGAACTGTAGCCAAAGGGATACAGTAGCTAAAGGGATACAGTAGCTAAAGGGATACTGTAGCCAGAGGGATGACGGTAGCTAAAGGGATACAGTGGTCCAAAGGACGGGGTAGCTTTTTCAGACCTTTTTGTCTAGATTACAGATCTGTTTCAGATCTTTTTCCCTCTAGATTACGGTAGTTTCAGACAATCCTCACCTCAGTGCACAAAAAAAAAGACAATGAAAGCTTCCACGATGAGCCACTCAGCCTACTGGCCCACTGGCCGCTCCTCCAGACATCTCAAATGACGATTTTCTCAATATACTGCTCAAAACTACTGAAATGAATCCCACATTTACGCTTCGGGGAACTAGCAGAACTTTTCCAGAACTAGCAGAACTTTCTCGCTGACAATTGAAAAGCAGAACTTTTCCATGTGACAATTGAAAAGCAATTAGAAACTGGGAAAGGTTAAGACTTGGGAAAGCTTGGGAAAGCTTGGGAAAGGGAAATGGGACATGGGAAATGGGTTTTAAATGAGCTGGATCCAATAGCAAACAAACGAAATAGCAAACAAACAAAAATAGCTGTCACTGTGTGCCTCAAAAGATCACAAAGAACCAGATGCCGTTCTCGTCTTGCAAGATGCCAAAAGGCCGTTCTCGCCTTGCTCATTCCTGTCCTAGAGTCTGCCCTGATTACCGTACAACAATTACCGTACAATTCTACCTAAACAAGCTTGTAAAAGCCTAAACAAGCTCTAGATAGCTTTAGCTTCTAGGTAGCTTCTAGGTTAGCTTTAGCTTCTAGGTAGCTTCTAGGTAGCTTCTAGGTAGCTTCTAGGTAGCTTCTAGGGTAGCTTCTAGTGGTAGCTTCTAGGTAGCTTTCTAGGTACAATTTCCAGACAATCCTCACCTCAGTGCATAAATTGTCTCGATGGGTTGATGTGAGTTTCAGCCAATTCACCATCTTTGGCGGCGCTTTTCCATATGAACCGACTCGATGGTGTGATACGAGAGAGGTTTCTTTCAACTTTCAAACATCTTCTTCAACTTTGTGTCTAAGGGCTACTGTAGCTTGTAAACACACACTTTCTGGGGCACTTCTAACATTTCTGACACTTCTGACATTTTTCAGAGATTCTGAGTTCGCCGAGGCAACACTGAGAGCCTTGATTGGCTGAAATGGAAGCTGGCGGGAATCCACTCTGGAGATGATGAGCCAACGCTGAGACGAGGGTACACGTCTGAAACTATCGTAATCTAGAAGAGAAATGTCTTAGAGGTTTTTAGAGGCTTTTAGAGGCTTTTTAGAGGCTTTTTAGAACCGAAAAAGGATAAGAAACTTGAAATTTCAACCTTTAGCCGATGCTTTCCTCAGCGAGATCTTCGTGTCTCGTCAAATCCGCTCGAAAAACAATACGCAAATACGATCAAGGAGTTGCTTGAGAAATTGAGAGTAATCATTTAAATCTTAAATTATTATTTATATAAATACCAGCTATTGTCCAAGCATTTTCAATGATTTACAATGTTTTTTTAAAATCCAAGCATTTTCAATTATTGCCCAAGCTTTGATCGCCCATAACTTTGCTTTGAAGTAATATTATTCTAAACGTTTTATATCATTGTATAGAGAACATTTCAGGCTTTTAAATAGCACAAAAGATGGCTTGATTGGATATTCCATTCCATGAAATATAAGCCAATTCAGAGAAGACAAGGCTGATCCATCTTGAGCGTTTTGTCGGCTGATTTTCATGGATTGAATTATCCAATCAAGCTCTGTTTGGTATCATTCAAAAGCCTGTAATGCCTTCTATACAATGATATAAAAAGTTTAAAATAATATTATCTCTGGGAGAAGTTATGGGTTATCAGAGCTCTGGCTAAATAACCGGATCTTGGAAAATCATTGTTGAATAAGGGGCCAAGCATCAAAGACTATAACTTTTCCCTAAAGATAATATTATTCTTAGCATTTAAGATCTTTGCTTTGCTTTAAGATCTTTGCATAGAGGACATTTCAGGCTTTCAAGTAACACAAAAGAGAGGTTAATTGAATAATTCATTCCATGAAAATCAACCAACACAACGCCAGAGTTGGATCAACCTTGTTCCCTGAATTGGCTTTGGTTTCTGGATTGAATTATCCAATCAAGCTTTATTTAGAATCATTTAAAAGCCTGAAATGCTCTCTATACAATGATATAAAGGGCTAAGAATAATATAATTTCTAGGCAAAGTTATGGGCCTTCAAAGCTTGGCCAAATGCCCAAATTTTGAAAATTATTGTTGAACAGGTTAAGCTTGATAACCCATAATTTCTTCCAGAGATAATATTATTCTTAACTTTATATCATTGTATAGAGAACATTTCAGGCTTTTAAATGGTACTAAATAAAGCTTGTTTCGATAATCCAATCCAGAAATCAAAGCCAATTCAGGGAAGACAAGGTTGATCCAACTCTAGCGTTGTGTTGGCTGATTTTCATGGAATGAATTATTCGATTAAGCTGTTTTTTGGGTTATCCAATCAAGTTCTATTTGGTATCATTTAAAAGCCTGCAATGTCTTCTATACAATGATATTAAAAGTTTAGTATAATATTCTCTCTAGGCAAAGTTATGGGCTATCAAAGCTTACAGAATTGTTCAAAGCTAAGCTATTATTTCAGACTATTTGTCTTTAGATAGTCTCTCGGCAGCCTGAACTTGACGCTGAAAAAAAGAAAAAAGATGAGGAAGAGAGTGAGAAAAAGAGATTGCTTGATGAGCATGCAAATGGGGTGAATAGGTCAGTACTTTTGCAATACGGTGATGGACATCATTTTGCAGCCGTTCCGAATTAACGTTTATGTAAAAAAGGCTGTAAAAAAAGGTTTCTGGTCATAATGGAAGAGTGTTGTTAAAAGAATGAGATCGTTTGAGAGAATTATCGCTTTCGCTAAGCGAAAAATGAATCCATGAAATGAAAAATGAATGAAATAGCAAAAGAATGAACTTTTTGTCGTTTTCCCTTGTTGATTTTTATGGAAGAATGCAAATTTTGCGGATTTATAACGGAAAAGAACCTAAATTTCTTTTCATTTGATCACAAAATCTAAAGCGAATAGCTATCTAAAGCATCTAAAGCAATCGAAAGCAATCTAAAGCAATTCTCTCTAATCGTACCCCATCGAGCCGAGTTGATGACTATTTACGGCTTCCAAAGCTTTCCCAGAAGCTCAAGAGTCTAATGCTCCACTAGATCTCATCGTTAGCTACATTTTTCACCCACACATCGATAGGTTCTGATAAGCTGTTCTCCAGATCTCAAGGAATTTCGAGCAAACGAGGAGTCTAAAGTTGACCCTCGTCCTTGACCCTCGACCGGTCTTAAACGCCTCGTTCTCAGCCCAATTTTAAGATCTTTTACGTACAATATACGAAAAGATAGCCCTTAATGTCCTCTATTATTTGGTATATTAAACATAGAAATATCTTTAAATGGGGTTGAGAACGAGGCGCCTAAAGTTGTTTACTAGATAACTAGATAACTAGATAACTAGATAACTAGATAACTAGATAACTAGATAACTAGATAACTAGATAACTAGATAACTAGATAGCTAGAGTAATCCTTTCCATTTCACTTTTGACTTTAGTTTATTGGATTGGTTGGAAGGATCTGGAGAGAAATGGCTTCAATCGTTGCACGAGATTGGCGAGAGTCGAGATGAGGCAAGACAGCTCGTCAGAGAACACGAGCAATTGACGACAAAGAGTCAAGTGAGTCAATTCTAGTTACAGTTTCTCTTTCTCTATAATCAGATTCATTTCTTTTTGTTCATTTTGTTATTGTTCTGTTTTGTTATCGAATTTGTTTAGGAAGTCTCCCAGCAAGCTGAAGAGTTGGCCGAATTGGCGCAACGCTTAACCGCCACAGCTCCCGAACACGCAATTACACTACAAAAGTGGGTTTTAAAGGTTTCTAGGCACTTACTAGGCACTTAAGCACTTACTAGACACTTACTAGGCACTTACTAGGTTTACTAGGTTTACTAGGCACTTACTAGGTTTACTAGGCACTTACTAGGTTTACTAGGCACTAACTAGGCATTTACTAGGCACTTACTAGGCACTTAAGCACTTACTAGACACTTACTAGGCACTTAAGCACTTACTAGGCATTTACTAGGTACTTACTAGGTTTACTAGGCACTTACTAGGTTTACTAGGCACTTACTAGGTACTTAAGCACTTACTAGACACTTACTAGACACTTACCAGGCACTTAAGCTCATTTTTTACAACTAGTAAACTGAATTCTTCATTTCTCGTGAGATCAACTATTTGAAAGTTGAAGTTGAAGTTGAAGAAAGCCTAAGAATTGCGTTAAAAGCTATTGATGGTGTTGGTGATCGATTGGTTATTGGTGTTTGATCCAATTCAAATGTCCAATTCAATTCAATTCAAGCGTTCTTGTTACTAAACAAAGTAAAGAGTATTCTAGAAAGAGCATAAAGTAAATCAAATCAATTTTTGCTTTAGATTCGTGACATTCTTTTGTCAACGTCTACAATTTTTCATGAGTCGGGTGAAACGACAAGCTGAAATGGTTAATCGTAGTGAAAAGTTTCATGAACAAATGAGTGAGGTAAGTTTTGGATTTATAGAAATCGATAGATTTATAGAAATCGATCGATTTCTTTTCTAGATAGATCTCTAGATAGATCTCTAGATAGATCTCTAGATAGATCTCTAGATAGATCTCTAGATAGATCTCTAGATAGATCTCTAGATAGATCTCTAGATAGATCTCTAGATAGATTTCTAGATAGATCTCTAGATAGATCTCTAGATAGATCTCTAGATAGATCTCTAGATAGATCTCTAGATAGATCTCTAGATAGATCTCTAGATAGATCTCTAGATAGATCTCTAGATAAATCTCTAGATAGATCTCTAGATAGATCTCAGATAGATCTCTAGATAGATTTCTAGATAGATTTCTAGATAGATTTCTAGATAGATCTCTAGATAAATTTCTAGATTCATTCTCAAATTCCTTTAACGATCACTCATTCACTTAAATTTATTTGGTTCCGATCGTTTTGGTGGTTGTGAAAATGAAAATGAGAGGCGTTTTGCCGGTTGCGCAGATTCCGGCCCATACCATGACCGATTTGGAATTTTGTCGGTGTTGAACAATCGCAGAGCTGCCTGGAGAGGACGTTGACCAAATCCGATCATTTTGGTGGTTGTAGCTTTGTTCCACCGAGAAGAGTTTCTCGTCAGAAAACAGGATTCGCTCCGAGTGTAGAGTTGCGGCCCGCTTGAGAAACTCTCGACATCTTTCGAGTCGAACTCGTTTGTTGTCGTCGTTGAGTTGTTGAGTTGTTGCCCTTGTTTGAGCTTGTAAGGGTGAAGATTGAGCTCATTTTTGGCCATAAATCGAACCGATTTGGCCATAAATCGAACCGATTTGGCCATAAGAGCTATCCCCGTCTGTCCAGCGATCTTTCTCGACCAAAAACTAAAAGCAAAAAAATTAAAAGCAAAAAAAAAAAAAGAAATAAAGCCAAAGATTACGGTAGTTACAGCACAAAATAGAATTGAAAAGAATTCTCGAATAAAAGAGGCTTATTAGATTAGGCGCTTAGATTAGACGCTTAGATTAGAATCTTAATAGAATTAATAGAATAAATATGGTAGATATATAAATTTATATCAAATATATTAAAATCTAAAGAATTTCTCTAGTTTTCGCGAAAAACCGACAACTTATTGGAGTCTTTGTGCACGGATTTGCACTGCTCTGATCTCGCCGGCGCCGAGATCGAAAGAAAACAATTGGAGGAGAAAGTCGAGCAAATGGGTAAAGATTAGAATGTCTAGGATTAGAAAATTTGAGATTAGAAAGAGAAAGAGAAAGAGAAAGAGATTAGAAAGAGAAAGAGATTAGAAGAGATTAGAAGTGATTAGAAAATTTGAATTTGAATTTACATATCTAAATACTTCTAAATACTTCTAATATCTAGGAAACTAGAGTTTTAAAAAAAAATATTTAGAAAGCATTTACGAAGAGGTGATGGATATCGGCGCCGTCTTTGCTGAGGACCTGGCCACTCCCGAAAAAGGCCCAATAAAGGTTTTTCAGCTTTCAAATGCTAATTCTATATTCTTAAATCTAATTATAGCTGTTATAAGTTTGACAAGGGAATGACAAGGGAATGACAAGGGAATGACAAGGGAATGACGAGGGGATGGCCAGGGAATGACAAGGGAATGACAAGGGAATGACAAGGGAATGACAAGGGAATGACGAGGGGATGGCCAGGGAATGACGAGGGGATGGCCAGGGAATGACGAGGGGATGGCCAGGGAATGACGAGGGGATGGCCAGGGAATGACGAGGGGATGGCCAGGGAATGACAAGGGAATGACAAGGGAATGACAAGGGAATGACGAGGGGATGGCCAGGGAATGACGAGGGGATGGCCAGGGAATGACGAGGGGATGGCCAGGGAATGACGAGGGGATGGCCAGGGAATGACGAGGGGATGGCCAGGGAATGACGAGGGGATGGCCAGGGAATGACGAGGGGATGGCCAGGGAATGACGAGGGGATGGCCAGGGAATGACAAGGGAATGACAAGGGAATGACAAGGGAATGACGAGGGGATGGCCAGGGAATGACGAGGGGATGGCCAGGGAATGACAAGGGAATGACAAAGGGAATGACAAGGGGAATGACGAGGGGATGGCCAGGGAATGACGAGGGGATGGCCAGGGAATGACGAGGGGATGGCCAGGGAATGACAAGGGAATGACAAGGGAATGACAAGGGAATGACGAGGGGATGGCCAGGGAATGGCCAGGGAATGACAAGGGGATGGCCAGGGAATGACAAGGGAATGACAAGGGAATGACGAGGGGATGGCCAGGGAATGACGAGGGGATGGCCAGGGAATGACGAGGGGATGGCCAGGGAATGACAAGGGAATGACAAGGGAATGACAAGGGAATGACGAGGGGATGGCCAGGGAATGACGAGGGGATGGCCAGGGAATGACGAGGGGATGGCCAGGGAATGACAAGGGAATGACAAGGGAATGACAAGGGAATGACGAGGGGATGGCCAGGGAATGGCCAGGGAATGACAAGGGGATGGCCAGGGAATGACAAGGGAATGACAAGGGAATGACAAGGGAATGACGAGGGGATGGCCAGGGAATGACGAGGGAATGACAAGGGAATGACGAGGGGATGGCCAGGGAATGACAAGGGAATGACGAGGAGATAAGAAGGGAATGACCAGGGAATGACAAGGGAATGACAAGGGAATGGCCAGGGAATGACAAGGGAATGACAAGGGAATGACAAGAGACAAGGGAACTCTTACAAGGAAATGACATCATAACTTGAGCAATTTTCAATTCCCTTAAGCTCTGCAACTTCCAATTTGCTCAAGTTCAAAACAATGAAGCTCATTTAACCTGAATCTGTCTTAAACCTCCGAAATTATAGCTGAAATACAACTTGGCCATAATATAAAGAATATAGATATAAATATTTATTTCTTATTATTGAATGTTTAAAACTTTATGCCCATTTTTGTCTAACTAGGGAATGTTGTTAAAATATCGTGGCTTTTGACTCGGAAAATAGCCTATCTGATGCAGTTTTTCACGCTGATTCCGAATCTGCAATCAGTTTTGCCAGACGCTTCTCTATCGAGAGATATTTGGCATTTGGCATACAAGTTTTTGGGGTCTCTTTATGAGGTCTCTTGTATGCCAAATATCTCTTGATAGAGAAGCGTTTGGCAAAAACTGATTGCAGATTCGGAATCAGCGTAAAAAACTGCATCAGATAGGCTATTTTCCGAGTCAAAAGCCACGATAACAACATTCCCTAGTAACATTTCTTTCAAGGGTTCGAGAAACTACGTCGCTGGCGTTGCTCACATCAGGGAAAACATGGCCGCCGCGAAGCACCGGAGAAAGAGGTGAGCTTTAGGATATCAGAATTATTAGACTGGTTCATAAGACTTGGTAACACTCTGTTCTTTCGAAATAAATTTTTATGCGCTCGACTTTCCCCGTTCTGTTTACATCCAATAAGTCGGCTTATCAGTCTCCTTTCAAAGCATTTCATACGCAGACTTGAATGCTTCAAGCTTCAAGCTTCAATGCTCTAATGCTTCAAGCTTCAAGCTTCAATGCTCTAATGCTTCAAGCTTCAAGCTTCAATGCTTCAATGCTACCCCAGATCTTCCACCAGAACATCTGAGACACGTTATGTTGTACGAGTCCAAAGGATCTTCTTTGCGGCCTAGAATAGCTTTGAAAACGTTCCGTCGCTTCTTCTCAAAGCACAATTCAACCTCTTTTGGGCACGTGGTGTCAATTCTGTTATCCTTGTTGTCTACCGATTCTTCTGTTCTTCTGTTCCTCTGTTCCTCTGTTCTTCTGTTCTTCTGTTCTTCTGTCTATCTGTTCTTCTATTCCTCTGTTCTTCTATTCTTCTGTTCTTCTGTTCTTCTATTCTTCTGTCTATCTGTTCTTCTGTTCCTCTGTTCTTCTATTCTTCTGTTCTTCTGTCTATCTGTTCTTCTGTCTATCTGTTCTTCTGTCTATCTGTTCTTCTGTTCCTCTGTTCTTCTATTCTTCTGTCTATCTGTTCTTCTGTTCTTCTGTTCTTCTGTCTATCTGTTCTTCTATTCTTCTGTTCTTCTATTCCTCTGTTCTTCTGTCTATCTGTTCTTCTGTCTATCTGTTCTTCTGTTCTTCTGTCTATCTGTTCTTCTATTCTTCTGTTCTTCTATTCCTCTGTTCTTCTGTCTATCTGTTCTTCTGTCTATCTGTTCTTCTGTTCTTCTGTCTATCTGTTCTTCTATTCTTCTGTTCTTCTATTCCTCTGTTCTTCTGTTCTTCTGTTCTTCTGTCTATCTGTTCTTCCTGTTCCTCTGTTCTTCTATTCTTCTGTCTATCTGTTCTTCTGTCTATCTGTTCTTCTGTCTATCTGTTCTTCTATTCCTCTGTTCTTCTATTCTTCTGTTCTTCTGTTCTTCTATTCTTCTGTCTATCTGTTCTTCTGTCTATCTGTTCTTCTGTTCTTCTGTCTATCTGTTCTTCTATTCTTCTGTTCTTCTATTCCTCTGTTCTTCTGTTCTTCTGTTCTTCTGTCTATCTGTTCTTCTGTTCCTCTGTTCTTCTATTCTTCTGTCTATCTGTTCTTCTGTTCTTCTGTTCTTCTGTCTATCTGTTCTTCTATTCTTCTGTTCTTCTATTCCTCTGTTCTTCTGTCTATCTGTTCTTCTGTCTATCTGTTCTTCTGTTCTTCTGTCTATCTGTTCTTCTATTCTTCTGTTCTTCTATTCCTCTGTTCTTCTGTTCTTCTGTTCTTCTGTCTATCTGTTCTTCTGTTCCTCTGTTCTTCTATTCTTCTGTCTATCTGTTCTTCTGTCTATCTGTTCTTCTGTCTATCTGTTCTTCTATTCCTCTGTTCTTCTATTCTTCTGTTCTTCTGTTCTTCTGTTCTTCTGTTCTTCTGTTCTTCTGTTCTTCTGTTCTTCTGTTCTTTTCGTCACTTGTCCTGCCCACCAAAAGCTTTGCTTTTCTATCACTTCAATTCAACAAAATGAGCAACGATTATCTAAAACGATTTTGAGAAAGCTGTTGGTTTAATTGTGAATAAATTTCTCAACAAAACTGTTACCAAGACTTACCTAATAGTAAATAAAACTTTAAAAGTAAACAATTATTTAACAAGATTACTATAATAGAAACTTTTAGATGCCTAGACTTAGTGGACGTGCGCCGATTGAAACTCGAACAGATCATCCGATTGAGTACTTGTGAAAGAGATGCAAATCAGGTATTCAGGGTTTTCGAGAACAGAGAATCCGAATCTATACTTAGTTTTTTAAAGAAACTTATCTAAACACTACTCAGAAGAAGCTAGAGTCCCTGGAATTGGCTTGGGAGAGCTTGCCTGGTGTCAGTCTGTCTAAACAGTCTAGATCAAGTCAAGCCAGACTGACTAAACTTTTGTCTTGGCTTTGTTTTGTCTTCTTGGCTTTACTACTCCTTTACTAAGCCTTTAAAATCACCGATTTCTAGGCAATTTCTTGGATCGAAGAGCTTCAGGAGACGCTGAGACGAGACTACAATCAAGTAAAGTTTTCTAGCTAACAAATTTCAATAATCTTTCAAGGTTGGCTGTGATGAGACAGAGTTACGAGTGCTGAAAAAAGACCGGGAACAGCTTGAAGATACGGCAAGAGTGAGCTTTATTGCCTTTTAGTTTTCAAATTAGAAACATTTTCAGAGCACCTATCACTACGGAAAAGAACTCTGCCAAGTGGCGCTCGTTTTGCGGCGATCGTTGAGAATGGACTCAAGTCCACAGGTCCGTTTCTATTATATTTGTTATATTGTAAAGTAGTACTACAGTATGCCAGCAAGCCAAATATTGAATTAGATGCCCAGAGCCTGGATCCTGGATCTGGAATCAGGATCCTGTATCCTGGAATCAGGATCCTGGATCCTTTGAGGGTCTTAAGGGTACTGTTGGATTCACTAAGGGCCTGAGGGGGTACTGTAGAATCCCTTGAGGATACTGTAGGACCCCTTAGGGGTACTGAAGGATCCCTGAGACTCCTGAGGGTACTGTGGATCCCTGAGACTCCTGAGGGTACTGTAGGATTCTCTGACGGTCTACAGGGTACTCTAGGATCCCTGAGGATCTTCAGGATCTGTGGGATCCCTTGAGGATACTGTAGAATTCCCTGAGGGTCAAGAGGGTACTGTAGGATCCTTGATGGTACTGTAGGACCCTTGAGGGTACTGTAGGATCCCTAAGGGTCATGAGGGAACTGTAGGATCCTTTGGGGCACTTCAGAATCCTTTGAGGGTACTTTAGGATCGCGTGAGGGTACTGTAGAATTCCCTAAGGATGCTGTAGGATCCCTGAAGATCCTGAGGGTTCGGTAGGATCCCCTGAGGATCTTGAGGGTACTGTAGGATCCCCTGAGGATCTTGAGGGTACTGTAGGATCCCCTGAGGATCTTGAGGGTACTGTAGGATTCCCTGAGGGTCATGAGGGTACTGTAGGACCCTTGAGGGTACTCTAGGATCCCTTAAAGATACTGTAAGAAGCCCTGAGAGTCTTGGAGTACTGTAGGATCTCTTGAGGGGACTGTAGGATTCCCTAAGGGCCTTGAGGATACTGTAGTCTTGATACTGTGGTCCTTAGTCTTGAATCGATCTACTCTAGGCGATTCTAATGAAACAAAGGCTATGACTTTAGCCTTTAGGTTTAGCCTTTAGGTTTTAGATCCATTTTTCAGAAACAACTAGCCGACAAGCTTGAGCACATCTGGGGCCGTTTAACCCGAGCATTGACTGAGCACGACGCCCGGACACACGTCTGTGCCGCTTTCAACTCAGCATGTGTACAGGTGAATTGAAAGTCGGAAAGATCAAAAGAAGGTGGAAATAATAATGATCTAAGTAGTGATCTAAGTAGTAATCTAAATAGATTTCTGTATAGATTGTTATCTGAATTTTCAGATCCTGAAACGCATTGATGAGCTGGATCGACAGGCGAAAGAGTATTTGTTGACTAAAGGACGGAGACAAGGTGGGTAAAGCATTGATTGAAAGTTAAATGATTGATTCAAAGCTAAATGATTGATTGAAATTGATCAAAAATCTCATTCTAGGCCCACCAACATTACTTTTCTCAGTGGAGCGACGAAAGCTCGGCTCTGATGTAGCCGAATTGAGACACATTGGAGAGATGCTCGTCGCACAAACAAATGCTAATCATGTGTAAGTTTTAATTTACATCTTTAATCTCAGTTGAATTGAGCATTCACCTTTAACATTCAACTGAATGCTGAATTGAACTGTTGAATGCTCAATTGAACTGTTGAATGCTGAATTGAACTGTTGAATGCTCAATTCAACCGCTGAATGCTCAATTGAACTGCTGAATGCTCAATTGAACTGTTGAATGCTCAATTGAACTGTTGAATGATCAATTCAACTGACTGCTGAATGATCAATTCAACCGCTGAATGCTCAATTCAAGTGTTGAATGCTCAATTGAACTGTTGAATGCTGAATTGAACTGTTGAATGCTGAATTGAACTGTTGAATGCTCAGTTCAACTGCTGAATGCTCAATTGAACTGTTGAATGCTCCATTCAACTGTTGAATGCTCAATTGAACTGTTGAATGCTCAATTGAACTGTTGAATGCTCCATTCAACTGTTGAATGCTCAATTGAACTGTTGAATGCTCAATTGAACTGTTGAATGCTCAGTTCAACTGCTGAATGCTCAATTGAACTGTTGAATGCTCAATTGAACTGTTGAATGCTCAGTTCAACTGCTGAATGCTCAATTGAACTGTTGAATGCTCCATTCAACTGTTGAATGCTCAATTGAACTGTTGAATGCTCAATTGAACTGTTGAATGCTCCATTCAACTGTTGAATGCTCAATTGAACTGTTGAATGCTCAATTGAACTGTTGAATGCTCCATTCAACTGTTGAATGCTCAATTGAACTGTTGAATGCTCAATTGAACTGTTGAATGCTCCATTCAACTGTTGAATGCTCAATTGAACTGTTGAATGCTCCATTCAACTGTTGAATGCTCAATTGAACTGTTGAATGCTGAATTGAACTGTTGAATGCTCAGTTCAACTGCTGAATGCTCAATTGAACTGTTGAATGCTCCATTCAACTGTTGAATGCTCAATTGAACTGTTGAATGCTCCATTCAACTGTTGAATGCTCAATTGAACTGTTGAATGCTCAGTTCAACTGCTGAATGCTCAATTGAACTGTTGAATGCTCAGTTCAACTGCTGAATGCTCAATTGAACTGTTGAATGCTCAATTGAACTGTTGAATGCTCAGTTCAACTGCTGAATGCTCAATTGAACTGTTGAATGCTCCATTCAACTGTTGAATGCTCAATTGAACTGTTGAATGCTCAATTGAACTGTTGAATGCTCAGTTCAACTGCTGAATGCTCAATTGAACTGTTGAATGCTCAGTTCAACTGCTGAATGCTCAATTGAACTGTTGAATGCTCCATTCAACTGTTGAATGCTCAATTGAACTGTTGAATGCTCCATTCAACTGTTGAATGCTCAATTGAACTGTTGAATGCTCAATTGAACTGTTGAATGCTCCATTCAACTGTTGAATGCTCAATTGAACTGTTGAATGCTCAGTTCAACTGCTGAATGCTCAATTGAACTGTTGAATGCTCCATTCAACTGTTGAATGCTCAATTGAACTGTTGAATGCTCCATTCAACTGTTGAATGCTCAATTGAACTGTTGAATGCTCAGTTCAACTGCTGAATGCTCAATTGAACTGTTGAATGCTCCATTCAACTGTTGAATGCTCAATTGAACTGTTGAATGCTCAGTTCAACTGCTGAATGCTCAATTCAACTGCTGAATGCTCAATTCAACTGTTGAATGCTTTCAAATGCTTTCAGTGCAAGTAAAGAAGCTCGAAGTGCAGCTGTTTCTCTTGTACGTCAAAAAGTGGAAGAGGTGAGGGCTTTTGGAATCGAAATGGATCAAAATCGACTGAATTTCAGGTGGAAGAGAAACGAAATCAGTTAGAGACGATTATTGACGGACGATCAGTGCCTGAAGAGGTAAATTGAGATTAAATGGAGATTAAATGAAGATTAAATCCTTAGACTTTCCTTAGTAAGATTTGATTTTTCTTTGTTTTTCGTTCATGTCTTTTCCTAGAAAGTTCCTAGAAGTGATCGTGTATAATTGTAAAGATCGTAAAGATCTTGAGCTGAATCTGACAGCTGACAGCTGACAGCTGACAGCTGACAATTCAGGATCGTTTTCTCGTTCGTGGAGTGCCGACCTCAATTCTCACGTCTACCACCGCACCTCCACAAGTCGATCCACCTGGTCACATTCGAATTGGAGACAACGAAAGCTATCTTTAGACAACGAAAGCTATCTTTAGACAATGAAAGCTATCTTTAGACAATGAAAGCTATCTTTAGACAGCTATCCTATCAAACAAAAACCCATTTCCCATTTTCTGTAAATACATTTGACCAAAGTCTTTTTCCTGATTTGCTCAATGAATTTTTTTATTCAATTCATTCAATGATATGTTCAAAGACAACCAATAAAGCACCTAGAAATCATTTAAATTTCAAAAAACATTCAAAAAACATTCAAAAACATTCAAAAACATTCAAAATCCAGCTAAACTTAATCCAAATCGATGCAAAATCAAGACAAAAATGCTAGACAATGGCTAGAAATGGCTAGACATTAAATAACGTTTCTGGTTTCGATTTAATTCTTCAATTATAGTCGAATTGCTGCCGGAAAATCGTTAAAATAGCCCCAAATCCTTTCGCATTCGAACTTGTTTCCATTGGGGAAGACCCGAGAAATCTTTCGGTGACATCCCGAATTCCTGAAAAGTGGTTTTGATGTTTTAAAGTTTCATAGACTTTAGAACTTGATAGAACTCGAATCTAGAGTTTGGCTTGGCCTTAAATAAAGGTTTGGCCTGACCTTGCCTGGGTCTGGCTAAGCCTGAGCTAAGCCTGGATCTAGCCTGGACCTGGATTTAACCTGTATGGGAACTGGACTAGACCTAGGCCTGGACCTAGGCTTGAATCTAGGCCTGCACCTGGACCTAGACCTAGACCTTGACCTGGACCTGAGCTTAATCTGTAAGGGGAATTGGTTTGAACCTAGGCCTAAGCCTAGGCCTGGACCTAGGTCTGGGTCTGGGTCTGGACTTAGGCGTAGACCTAGGCCTGGGCCTGGATCTGGACCTAGGGCTGAACCTGAGCCTAATCTGTAAGGGGAACTGGTCTGAATCTAGGCCTAAGCCTAGGCCTGGACCTAGGCCTGAACCTAGACCTAAACCTGAATCTGAACCTAACCTGGTCCTGGTATAGACCTGGATTCTGCTCGTACCTTTGGCTCAGGATCTGGCCTGGACCTTGGGTCTGGCTTATCCTGGACTTGGCCTGAATCCGGGCCTGACCTGTAGTGGTAATCGATCTGAACCTAGTTCTGGACCTGAGCCTGACTCATCCTAGAACTGGCCTAGGGTTGGACCATGCTCCAGCCAGGATCTAAGCTGGATCTAGACTGGATCTAGACTGGAATTGGCTGTAGGATTCCCTGAGGTTCTTGAGGGTACTGTAGGATCATTTGACTGAGCCTAGGGTCATACGAGGTACTGTAGGGTTTAAGCGTGACCGACTAGCTTGGTTCTGGCTTGGCTCTGGCTTGACCCTGGCTTGGCCCTGGTTTGGCCCTGGCTTGGTCCTGACTTGGTCTTGGCTTAGCCCTGGCTTGGCTCTGGCTTAGCCCTGGCTTGACCCTGGCTTGGCCCTGGTTTGGCCCTGGCTTGGTCCTGACTTGGTCCTGGCTTAGCCCTGGCTTGGCTCTGACTACATAGCCCAAAGCCTAAAAATCTTTCTGTCACTAATCTCCAAGCCTAATACCTTCTCAAAATCATCCTCGGTGAGGTACTTGTGCAATCGAGAAAGATCCACTCCTGGCGGCAAAGAGTCCCGATCTCGAAGTTGATACGGGGTGAACGTGCGCCGCCGCTCCGATAGACATTCGTTTAAAGCACGTGGAGGACTTGAGTCTGAAAGAATCATCAAAATAATGATTTTATTCAGATTCTAAACCAACCAGGACTGGTTATTTCTTCTTTTGGCCACTCAACCCATTCCTGGAAAAGAGCAACGAACTCTGGTGGTTCAGCTCTTTTCTCTACGACTGTGCAAGGCCCAACTCGTTTATCCCAATATCTAAAGTTAGAATATGAATGTAAAAGTATTGTAAGGCTGCCTGTAAAGGCTTAGGCTGCCTGTAGAGGCTTAGGCTTAGGCTTAGGCTGTCTGTAAAGGCCTAAGCCTAAGCCTAAGCCTAAGCCTAAGCCTAAGCCTAAGCCTTTTAAAGCTTTACAAACCTTAATCCTGTTTCTAAAACATGGGTACTTGGAGTGACTTCTGACCAAAGCCAAAGCACTTCACCGGCATCGATCAGCACCGAATCGCGAAGTTCTTTCTAGAGTTTATATTGACAGAGCTATTGATAGATATTTAGAAATTAATTTAGAAAGATTACTGTAGCTATTTAAAAGGTTATTGTAGCTATTCAAAAGATTATTCTAGCTTTAAAGTAAACCATTTGCTATCATTTTACCTGTAAATGTGGAAACGGCGCAACGCCACTCGGATGGAATGAGTTTGATTGAACCTCTTCTGCTTCGAAATCGAAAAGTCTAAATTGAATTGAAATTTGAAAGCTTTTCAGCAGTTTTCAGCAGTCAGCAACCCTTCAAAATCTTTCATTTTTCATTCCACTCACCTAAACATTCTTGGTGCTTTAATCCTCTTTTTAGCGATAATCCATTTGATCGATGTATCGTTGTCGCCTTGTACCCGAGCTATTGCCTAGGAAAGTGACATTAAAAAAACAATTGTACAAGAAAGAAAGAATGTTTAAAAGGATTTTGATTAGATTATTAGGATTTAAAGAATGCGTAGAAAGACAGTAATGCGGAGAGCAAAGATTCGAAGAAATAAGCAAAGATCAAACGATAAAGGATACTCTATCAATGACTTCTTCCGGTTACTAGAAGCCAAGAAAGGCTACCAGAAGCCAAGAAAGGCTACCAGAAGCCAGGCAAAGCTACTAGAAGCCAAGCAAGGCTACTAGAAGTCAGACAAGGCTACTAGAAGCCAAGCAAGGCTACTAGAAGCCAGACAAAGCTACTAGAAAGCCAGACAAGGCTACTAGAAGCCAAGCAAGGCTACTAGAAGTCAGACAAGGCTACTAGAAGCCAGACAAGGCTACTAGAAGCCAGGTAAGGCTACTAGAAGCCAAGCAAGGCTACTAGAAGCCAGACAAGGCTACTAGAAGCCAAGCAAGGCTACTAGAAGTCAGGCAAAGCTACTAGAAGCCAAGCAAGGCTACTAGAAGCCAGACAAAGCTACTAGAAGCCAAGCAAGGCTACTAGAAGCCAAGCAAGGCTACTAGAAGCCAAGCAAGGCTACTAGAAGCCAGACAAGGCTACTAGAAGCCAAGCAAGGCTACTAGAAGCCAAGCAAGGCTACTAGAAGCCAGACAAGGCTACTAGAAGCCAAGCAAGGCTACTAGAAGCCAAGCAAGGCTACTAGAAGCCAAGCAAGGCTACTAGAAGCCAAGCAAGGCTACTAGAAGCCAGACAAGGCTACTAGAAGCCAAGCAAGGGGCTACTAGAAGCCAGACTTAGACTTGGCTTCTGAAGAGCCAGGCCCTCAGCAAAGACAGTTCAAACCAACACTTTGTCTGGCCTTGCCTTGCACAGAAAAAATACTTTTCAAACAACTCTAGCTGGCACTTCAACAGCTCTTCAACAACAATAAGCTGCCAAGCAAATAGCTTTGCTCAGTTCAGGTTTAGCTTTGCTCAGTTCAGGTTCAGCTTTGCAATTTACCTCTCCACTAGCAGCTAGCTTCAAATCGACGAGAAGTGTGGCCATACGAAGTCCGCTTGACACGTGAACTTCAGAACAATGTGCACCGACATGAAGAGTGACTGGTTTGTTGGCTAAAATTGCATCTTTGCTTGCTTTTCTTTGCTGAAATAGAAAAAAAATCTATCAATTATCGAAACAAAGCTATAATTCTTATAAAAGGGTATTCCAGATCCAAAAGAAACCCATTTTGATGCCAGATTTGGACTAGATAATGGTTTACGGTTTGAATTTGATAGGATTTGCTTGAATTTGCTTGAATTTGATGGACTTGATAGGCCATCTTTGATTGATAAAGGTTGATAGGCCATCTTTGATTGATAAAGGTTGATAAAGCTTTCAAAAGTTCACCTATTGCCTCCAAATAAACAGCATGACTCCTCAATGGGTTCTCTTTTTTGATCTGTTCAAGTGTAGTTTCACTTGACAATGAGCCTCGAATGACGAAAAGATGATCATTCTAGAATTTTCTTTGAAAGATTAAAACCTTTATCTATTTTCTTACCAAGTTTCTATCTCTGATCAATAATTTTCCTTCAAAAAGCTCTAGAAAAACCGGATGCTCAGCGCCTTGTTCTTGTCGAACCTGAAAGAATGGAAGGACTGGAAGAATGGACTGGAAGAATGGGCTGGAAGAATGGGCTGGAAGAATGGACTGGAAGAATGGACTAGAAGAATGAAAGGACTGGAAGAATGGACTGGATGAATGGGCTGGAAGAATGGACTGGAAGAATGGGCTGGAAGAATGGACTGGAAGAATGGACTGGAAGAATGGGCTGGAAGAATGGACTGGAAGAATGGACTGGAAGAATGGACTGGATGAATGGACTGGAAGAATGAAAGGATTTTATGGAAAGTTCTAACACTTACATGAGGACTCTTCTCTTTATCCATATGTGAAAGCTTCAGCGCGCAAAGACCTAAAATTTGATTTGTTTTAGAAAACAGTTGCCGATACCTTGAAGCTTTGGTGATGTCCACTTGCCTAACCAATAGAAATACGCAATTCGTTGTCGGCCTGTCTCCCGCTCAACCTCAGAGCCGTCTTTTAGCCGTCTTACACCTAAAAATTGGACTTTTATCAACTGTATCAACTACTGTATCAACTGTATCTACTGTATCAACTGTATCTACTGTATTAACTACTCTATCAACTACTCTATCAACTACTCTATCAACTACTGTATCTACTGTATCAACTACTGTATCAACTCTATTCAATATCCGTAGAAAACTACCTGACAACTGAATCCTGTACTGCCACCGCACCACATAGCACTCATCACTCCACAAAACGTTTGTCTTTTGGATTTTCTCTAATTCCTCTCCCTGTAGCACCCAGAAAGCAATGTCTTCAGTGATTACATCCTAAAGAAATATTTAGCGCTCTTCAAAGCTCTTCAAAGCTCTCAAAGCTGCTCTCAAAGCTGCTCTCAAAGCTTTCAAAGCTGATCTCAAAGCTCTCAAAGCTCTCAAAGCTCTCAAAGCTCTCAATGCTCTCAAAGCTGATCTCAAAGCTCTCAAAGCTCTCAAAGCTCTCAATGCTCTCAAAGCTGCTCTCAAAGCTCTCAAAACTTTCGACAATCCCTATTCAACTCACTTTTGTTTGCCTCTCAAATTCATAGTCTTCAAGGACAAGTACGGGGAGTTGATGCTCGAAGGATCTAATCTTTTCAGCTAAATCGATCGCATCTTGTTCAGGATCTCGTCGAGGAATTTGTTTCGTTGATATCGGCGTTTTGAACAAATTTTTCATCTCACTTGTTTCCCAATCGGCGAACTTTGAGGCAAAGAGAACGTCTTGGACTCCCTGAAATGAAAGGATTTGGATTGGAAATGAAATTTGGATTTGATTTCTATTCTAGATCTTTACTTTATCTGTTAAGAGATGAATGGCAAAGGATTTGGAAGCGAGAAGTGAGAAGCGAGCGGAATTAAACCCTCGACCTTCTGCTTGGCCTTGACCTTCTGCTTGGCCTTGACCTTCTGCTTGACCTTGACCTTCTCCTTGGCCTTGACCTTCTGCTTGGCCTTGACCTTCTGCTTGGCCTTGACCTTCTGCTTTTGCTTTACCAATGAGCTATCGGCGAAGGAATAGGAAAGACCAGGAAGAAGAAGAAGAAATAGGAAAGACAAGGAAGAAGAAAGGAAGAAGAAGAGATAGAAAAGATAAGGAAGAAGAAAGAAGAAATAGGAAAGACGAGGAAGAAGAAATGGCAAATACAAGGAAGAAGGAAGAAATAGGAAAGACAAGGAAGAAGAAAGAAGAAGAAATGGGAAAGACGAGGAAGAAGAAAGGAAAAAGAAGAGATAGAAAAGATAAGGAAGAAGAAAGAAGAAGAAATAGGAAAGATGAGGAAGAAGAAATGGCAAATACAAGGAGGAAGAAGAAAGAGAAAAGACAAGGAAGAAGAAGCAATAGGAAAGACAAGGAAAAAGTGAAGAAATAGGGAAGACAAGGAAGTCAGGTAGAAGAAGAAGAAGAAGAAGGAAGAAGAAAGAAAGGAAGAAAGAGAACCAGGATAAGTCTTTTACCTGGAAGACCCGTCTCACAATGACCCACTCGGGCCTCTTCACTGACATATCGCATCCAAAAATCTCGCTGCACCCAAGACCGCACTTGATCTGAAAATTACGATGCACAGGATTACGATAGCTTTATAGAATAGCTTTATAGAAGCTTTATAGAAGCTTTATAGAAGCTTTATATTAGGTTGTCCAATAAGTAATGCGTGTTACTTATTTCGAAACTATTGCGAAATCGCTTCGAGCAAATATATGAAGTTCTAAACCCCGGTCAAATGGTCACTGCTGACTTGTACTCTCAACAATTGGAAAGAGTGCAGCAAGCTCTTTGTCGTAAAGGAGAGGACACTTCGATGATTAAACTGCAGTTTGACAATGCTCGTCCGCATATTGCAAAAATCGCATAGCAGAAGATTGAGAAGCTTGGATGGTCGACTCTCCCACATCCGACGTATAGTCCAGACCTGGCTCCATCTGATTTCCATTTGTTCCGTTCGATGGCGCACGCTCTTGGAGAACACAAGTTCAAAAGTGTTGACGAGGTGCAAAAATGGCTCGACGATTTCTTCTCATCGAAACCAGCTTCATTCTATTATGACGGACTTCACTCTTTGCTCGGAGGATGGAGAAATGTTGTTGATTGTTGTGGAGAATATATCGATTAATAAAGTTCTCTTTTGTTAATTTTGTGATATTTTGAAAATCGTGTCAAAACACGCATTACTTATTGGACAACCTAATAGAAGCTTTATAGAATAGCTTTATAGAGCTTTATAGAAGCTTTATAGAAGCTTTATAGAAGCTTTATAGAAGCTTTACTATACTTTAGAGAATTACGATAGCTTTATTTTTAAATTTTAAACCCACCAATTTGTTCACATACTCCTTTGCGTATCTTCCGCTTGTCTTTCTCGCGTTTCGCCCACTCCAAATGTAAATCTCGGAGCCAAAGTCGAGAATCAAAGTCTAAATCACTTTCGTGAGCAAAGCAATGCTCGTGCTATTGCGGTGCTATTGCGTTTCTTCACTAATTACCTCATTTGGTTGGAAAATCTTGAAACGTGGCCGTTCCCCTTTGACGATCGACTGAATTTTGTAGTCGTCGGTGACCCGGAGGATAAGATTCGCTGAAGCGGCGAGATTTTCGAAGGGTTCAGCCGGGCGGATGAACGATGAATTTGATGAATCACCTGACAGACAGGAAAGTTTAGAAGTTTGTAGTTTTTTCGATAACTGAATGATTCGTGAATTCAGGAATCTTTCAGCTGAGTCCTAGAGCTTAAGCTAGACTTAAACCAGGCTAGACAAGAAGCCAGGTTTAGATTAGGACTAGATCAGGCCAGTATTACAGCCAGCATTACAGCTAGACCAGCATTACAACTAGACCAGCATTACAGCTAGGCCAGCATTACAGCTAGACCAGCATTACATCCAGCCATACTCTGTAAAACTGCCAAGATCAAACTAGAAGATAGGTCTAGATGTTGCACAAGACAGTAAAGCCTGACCTGGCCCTGGAATAACTCTGGACAAGCCAAGTCAAAGCCATGGCTTTGGTTTAGCTATTCTTAGCTATCACTTAGCTTAGCCTTAGCTTAGCCCACCTCCTAGTGTTTTAAAGAAAGCCGGCGCTGATCCTTCAACCCGTTCAACGCATTCAGCTGTGCAAAAGAGATCTTTCTTTTGAATGATCGATGTTGTCATTTGAGCCCCCTAAATTTAAGCTTTATTAACTGAATATCTTTTAGAATATCTTTTAGAGAACAAACCTTTGTCTTTTCAAGAATATTGCTTTCTGATCCTGTATAGAGAAAGAGTCTTTTCGGCGTGACAAGCACAAAGCAGCCGTGCTGATGAACAGATGAACCCTTTGGCTCAACCAAACGAACGTCGACTTTCTTCTCACCTGAATTGATAGCTTTAGAATTGGTAGCTAAGAATTGGTAGCTAAGAATTGATAGCTTTAGAATTGGTAGCTAAGAATTGGTAGCTTTAGAATTGATAGCTTTAGAATTGATAGCTTTAGAATTGGTAGCTAAGAATTGCTAGCTTTAGAATTGATAGCTTTAGCTACAAGCGGAGATTGGATAAACTTTGCTTAATATAAATCTTTCCGATGATTGCAATATCCTTTAATCTAAGGCTTTCATCTGAGGCTTAGGCTGAGCCTCAGATGAGCCTCTCTAAGATCTGAGCTTCTCTAAGAAAGCCAGTATTTGATCAAACTAATCAACAGATCAATTAGATTAGATTTGATGGAGTGGAGTTTCAATCAATCAATCGATTGATCGATCAAGTTTCGATCAAAGATCAAAGTTTCGATTCAAATCTCTTTGTAGACGCTTGTAGCTCTGGTAAAATGAGTAAAATGAGTAAAATGGAGAGTAAAATGCGGCGTAGAGTTTGAGAGTAAAATGAGAGTAAAATGGTAACATTTGTGTTAGCGCTAAAGGAATAACAGACGTATTTCTTATTGCTTATTATTACAATAAACTTTTTTAGTAAGAACAACAACAAAAAACGAACAGCAGTAGTTTTAAACTCGTCAAAGAGGTCATAAGATTTAATGATTAATAGATTTTAGTATGATGCTATAAAAGAATTGGATAGTGATTCGATTCTGCTTTGACTTAAAGCTTGAAAGAAGCTTGAAGAAATCCGGGCAATTTTTGTCTGTTATTACTAAATTTGTATTTTGTTTTGATTTGCATATTTTAATTTATTATTTAGATTTCAGCTAAAGACTTTCAGCTATTTGATTTTCCAATATGGATAAAGAGAAGACTCCAAAGCGGTTAGATTATTAATTTATTGTATCTAAAAGATGATTTTAGTATTCTTGAATTGTACGCTACACTCGGTTCACTTCGTGGCTCAATTGGTGACTTTGTGGCTCAATTGGTGACTTTGTGGCTCAATTGGTGACTTTGTGGCTCAATTGGTGACTTTGTGGCTCAATTAGTGGCTTCGTGGCTCAATTGGTGGCTTTGTGGCTCAATTAGTGGCTTCGTGGCTCAATTGGTGACTTTGTGGCTCAATTAGTGGCTTCGTGGCTCAATTGGTGGCTTTGTGGCTCAATTGGTGACTTTCTGGCTCAATTGGTGACTTTGTGGCTCAATTAGTGGCTTCGTGGCTCAATTGGTGGCTTTGTGGCTCAATTGGTGACTTTGTGGCTCAATTGGTGGCTTCGTGGCTCAACCTATTTTAGCGTAAACTGCTGTGCGCATTTAATCAACAACTTTGCACAGAAAGTACTCGCATTAAAGCGATTACAAGAAATTCTTCAGCTAGGATTTCGAAAACTGAGAGCACTTTGCACAGTTAGTAACTTGTTAACTTGTTAACTTGTTGAATCGGACTGAATTCTACGACGTAATAAATTCTGGGTCTTGTTAAACTAGGATATTAGGTTAAAACGCTGAATTTTGATAGTTTGTGCATGCGGTCTTAAATCTCAAAATCAACCAGCACTGGTCTGTAGAGAAAGTAACGAAATCTGTAGAGAAAGTAACGAAAGCTGTAGAGAAAAGGAACCAAATCTGTAGAGGAACCAAATCTATAGAGAAAAGGAACCAAATCTTTAGAGAAAAGGAACCAAATCTGTAGAGGAACCAAATCTGTAGAGAAAAGGAACCAAATCTTCTATAAACTCTTCACAAACCCATGATTCGAATCAACATCACGTCAGGAAACGGGGAAACGAGATCGGCTTGCTTCAGAGCACTCTTTGCTGCGTCATAGTTCTCGATTGACTAAAAGATAAGGCTTACAATCCTTCTCGGAATATAAAACAACAAGCTAACAAGTGTTTAACAAAAAGCTAGATAGATATCAAGTTAGAAAATATCGTTTAACAACAAGTTAACAGTTAAGTTAACAACAAATTAACAGTTAAGTTAACAACAAGTTAACAGTTAAGTTAACAACAAGTTAACAGTTAAGTTAACAGTTAAGTTAACAACAAGCTAGAAATCTAGCCTTTTAAAGCTCGATTTAAATTTAAATCTAGCTAGATTTAAAGCTAGAATTTAAATTTAAAGCACCTAAATCAAGTGTTTTAAATGTTTAACCTTTTAGCTCTAAAAAAAACCTGTAATCCCTTTCTAGCACTTGTAGCCACCGGTGTGCTCATATCGTCATCAAGCTCCTCAATAACCAAATGATCCCGAAGATCCTCCTCACAATGCACACTATCAACGTCAATCGCTTTTAGACGATCGGTTCCAGCCTTGAAACGTTATCCAAATCATACTAGCTTTACGATAGCTTTGCAGTAATACGATAACTTTACAACAGTACGATAACTTTACAACAGTACGATAACTTTAAGATAGTACGATAACTTTACGATAGTAAGATAATTTTACAGTATTACAGTACTATTTCAATAGTATTATGCTTTTAAAGCCTTCAGTTTCCTCACCTTTCGTCGTGCTGGTCGACCCGGTCGAGGCACTAGTCGTCTTGGGGTGGATAGCCTAAAAAGTTAGAGAATTATACTTTCCAAGATAACGATTATCTAGCTATATTTATTATCTAGCTATATCTATTATCCAGCTATATCTATTATCTATTATCCAGCTATATCTATCATCCAGCTATATCTATTATCTATTATCCAGCTATATCTATCATCCAGCTATATCCATGATCTTGAACTTTAAACTTTAAACTTAAAAATCAGCCTCTGAAGGCTTCGGTTTAGCCCGGTTTTACCTCTGTGATGGCTGAATAGCGTCCAAATCGATCTCCTCCTTTTGCAATTCGCCTTCATTTTTAGTAACTGACTAAAGTTTTTTAAAGTTTAAGCGTAGATATGAGTTATTTAAATAATAAATAATAAATATTTAGTATTCAAATTGAGTTAAGTATAGAAATGAATTATTTAGATAAGACAAGGGAAAAACTGGCTGAGCCAAATGCTATGCAACCAATACCATTCGACGCCGAATTTCATGCTGATTCCGAATATATATTCCGTTTTTGCTAAATGACAATCTGTCAAGAGTTATAAGTGTCTAAAGTTGGTTAGGACTCTGAAAATGTGGTCATTTGGATCTTAGCGTCTAAAGTTTTGTTAGGATGAAATCTTAAATGTCTGAAAATGTGGTCTTAGCGGCTTCATTTGGGTCTTAGCGGCCTGCTTGCGGACTCCACTCAGTGCAGCTGTGGCCACTGTGGCCAAGTGGTAAAGCGTTCGCTTCTAGAGCGAGACCTTCGACCCCCCGCTTTGGATTTTTCTTTTGCTTTTTTCAAGAACTAGTGTTCTTTGTGCGCGCGAATAAGCTCCATCTGGCACATCGCTTTCCATATATAAAGCCATCAAGTAATGTTGATCAATCGCCATCAACTGTTCAGCAGTTTCCACATTTTCACAAGTCCACAATCACAGACACATTTTCAGAGTCCTAACCAACTTTAGACGCTTATAACTCTTGACAGATTGTAATCTAACAAAAACTGAATATATATTCGGAATCAGCATGAAATTCTGCATCAAATGGTATAGATTGCATAGCATTTGGCTCAGCCAGTTTTTACAAAACAAACGAATTCACCGTAAGTGGAACGGTGGCAGAGAAAAACGTGTTTAGTCCAGAGTCGATATTATGTAAAGTGTTCGCTTTTGATGGCTGAGGCTAAAGATATTCAGTTAAAGTCTAGTAGATTCAATTTTCACCAACCGTTAACAGTTTCTCGTAGTTTAGCGTTTGTTTTTCCAGCGGATGCACTTTTTGCGTGGGTTTCCGCGTCGGCGAAACATCTTTGCGCACTTTTCGGCGCCAATCGTCGGCTGACTAAAAAAGAAAAAGGTAGTTTAGAGATTTTAAAGATAGCTTAGATAATGTTAGCTTAGATTCGATAATTTTTAGATCTGAAATAACTTTTACCGAATTCAACTCGGCCAACCGCTTCTGAATGCTGTTGAGGCCCTCTTTTCGGGATGGAGACGAGGGAATGCTTGTTTTGTTTTTCCATCTAAATACTCGTTTGAATATATATGTCGTAGCCGTTTACGAAATTCAGCCGCTAACGAATGAGGGTATTTCCGGGCATCCAATCAAAAAGTCACCCACATAAAAAATGTTCATAATACATATATTTTATAATAAATTTTTGAAATTAGCTCATTTGGTTCAGTAGAAAATTTTTTTTGAGCCCCCAAAGTTTAGGTTCAAAAATGCCGTAAAATGGCTATAAAAAATTTTCTACTCAGCCAAAAAACTTGCCTAATAGCTCATTTTGTAGCCAATTTGATGTAGATTCTTAAAGTAAAGCCATCTAAAACAATTTTTCGTTGAAAGTAGGAGAAAGAGGGCGAGGAACAAATTCAGGGCAATTCTCAAATGTGAAAACAGCGACCGAGTTCAACTGAAGTCGTTCCTCGCCCTCTTTCTCCTAGCTTTGAAAAACAAATGTTCAATGTAGCTTTACTTTAAGAAACTACATCAAATTGGCTACAAAATGAGCTATTAGGCAAGTTTTTTGGCTGAGTAGAAAATTTTTTATAGCCATTTTACGGCATTTTTGAACCTAAACTTTGGGGGCTCAAAAAAAATTTTCTACTGAACCAAATGAGCTAATTTCAAAAATTTATTATAAAATATATGTATTATGAACATTTTTTATGTGGGTGACTTTTTGATTGGATGCCCGGAAATACCCTCATTCGTTAGCGGCTGAATTTCGTAAACGGCTACGACATATATATATAATTTTCAAGAAGATCTCTTTAACCTAGAACTCTAGAAGATCTCTAGATGAGAGTTTATAGATTTTGTGAAAAAATGGCCTTTTGTTGAGCTGAAGCGCTGTTTAAGTTCTCTTTTAAACGTCATTTTGTAGAGAACTAGTTAACCTTTCTACTGATATCAAAAGTGTATCATTTGACGCAGTTTTAGTCTTGTTCTGCTAGAAGTTTTAGAAATTTCTTTGATTTTCGGCACCATTTCCTCCTCCCCAACTCAATATCTAATATGGATGGGTTCTTTTCTGGGTTGTGGCTGGGATTCGAACCCGCGTCCTCTGGCTGCCCGCGCAAACGCTTAATCAATGAGCTACACCGATCAATAGACTGACGCGTATCCACGCGTCAGTGTATTGATCTCAAGGTAGGAGGACCTTATGCTTTACTGTATTCTTGAGTAGGTAGCTGTAAATCACACTGGTGACAGCTCTGTAGCGATAAGTTCAAAAGATCTAACCTATCTTGACTCTCAGAAAGTTGCGATCGGATTTCGGAGAGCATCGTTATAGCATTCCTGGAATGATAAGAATAGATAATGGCTCAAAAATCTACTAAAAAAAAATCAAAAATCTACAAAATAAATGTAAAATGAAAGAATAAATGAAAGAGATTTAATTCAAAGATTAGAGTGTGCTTAAAAATGGAAATAAGCCCTTTCTCAAGGAAATTCGCAAATTTGGCACTGTATTCTTCATTTTCCTCCCCGCAACAGTTTGCTTTCTTAAGGAAATTGAAAAGTTCAGTGCACCAGAGAATGCATTTACATTCTAAGCGCAAGGCACCGATAAAGCCTTTAAAGGAATTGTGATGCAAACAAATTTTGAGCATTTCAAAGCAATTGTGGTGCAAAGAAATTTCAAAAGATTCTCCAGAGAAAAAAAAAGAAATCGATGCTTTGATAAAAGAGACAAAGAAGGGGAAATCTTTAAAAAGACGCTGTGTTTATAAATTGAACCAACAAATATTCTGTTTGAAAAGTGAGCAATTTTTGAATTTCATAATCGTTTTGATGTTTTTTTTGATCAAAAGGATAGCCAGAATGAATTAAAAACATAAAAAAGAGCCGTTGGTGACAAATTTTGAGACAACATTTGACGAACAGAGAGCAAACAATGAGATTTATAAAATTTGGCAAGTAGGGCAAGTGGCAGTGTAAGTAACTCCCTTACCGACAAAATTCAACTTTACGGTCTGATCGAGATTTCCAACGAAACCTGGCTTTTACGTACCAAAATGCACAAAAAATACAAAATTATGAGGGGGGAAACGTTTCTAGAGAAAGAAAAATGAAAAAAACCGTTAGACCTTAAAGTGAATCCACAGTAAGTGCACTTTACGGCCTGATCGAGCTTTAACGAGATCGGCCACTCGTACTCATAAAGAAAAACATTCGTAAATGAAAAGAAAATCATTCAAGAAAATCAAAATTACCTAGAAAAACAACTTTTGGAATAGAAATTGGTTAATATTAGCTTTTAGAGCTTTTTTAAAACGCGAAAAAAGGTGCGCTAATGAGTTAAGTGCGGAAAAAAGGTGCGCAAATGTCCGGGTGCGCAAAAAAAGGTCGCATTTGTCCCACTCCCAAAAAGTAAGCAAAAAAGTAAGCAAAAAAGGAAAACATAAAGAAAAACGGCATAAAAGCCTAACAAAGTCCGAAGAATTTATAGAAAAAACCAAATTTATAGACAAAAGGAACCAAATTTGTAGACAAAAGAACCAAATTTGTCTAGAAAAAGTAACCAAATTTGGTTCCTTTTGGCTAAAACATTAGATTCGACTAAGCCAGGATAAAAGTGCCCCCTCCCAACCACCAAAGTACCGATTTTACGAAGGGCGAAGAAAATTTAGCAAGCCCTAGCATAAAGAAAAACTAAAAACATAAGCAAAAAAGGAAAACATAAAGAAAAACAGTATAAAAGCCGAAAAAAGATCGAAGAATGAAGAAAAAGAAGAAATGAATGCCGAAAAATGAAAAGAATGGCAAAAGGGGAATTTTGTGTGGGGTACGGTAGCGTATCCATGCTTTAGAAAGCGCGTTGCGCCGTTTTCGCGTCAATCCCTTAAAACCTTATGTAAATAGGATTCTAACTGTGTATTTGGTGCTTTACTATCTAAACGCACACTTCCCAGCGCACTGAATCCTTCATTTTTGTCAGAAATAGTTGATGTTGCAAGAAAAATGAAGAATTGAGTACAACAAAAGGGATTTGCTTGCTGATTGCTGATTGCTGATTGCTAGATTTGCAATTTCGAGCACAAAGTACAGACAAAAGAAGATTTTTTGGCTTTTTGATGAAAAGCTCTTCCCTTTTTCTTCTTTCCTTTCCTCTCTTGAGCAAAGAAAACATTCACCCGACAAAAATGGACCAACAGAAAGGCAGAACAGACAAAACTATGTTGAATCAATGGGGTTTATTCGAAAACAATTGGAAATAGAAAATGGAGGGCAGAAATTCTGTACTTGAACGCTTGATAGGAGATTGGTTCAAAAGGAATTTCACAAAGCAAAACCAGAACCAAACCAGAACCAAACCAGAACCAAACCAGAACCCAATCAGAACCAAACCAGGACCAAACCAGAACCAAACCAGAACAGAACCAGAACAGAACCAGAACAGAACCAGAACCCAATCAGAACCAAACCAGAACCAAACCAGAACCAAACCAGGACCAAACCAGGACCAAACCAGGACCAAACCAGAACCAAACCAGAACCAAACCAGAACAGAACCAGAACAGAACCAGAACCCAATCAGAACCAAACCAGAACCAAACCAGAACCAAACCAGAACAGAACCAGAACAGAACCAGAACAGAACCAGAACCCAATCAGAACCAAACCAGAACCAAACCAGAACCAAACCAGGACCAAACCAGGACCAAACCAGAACCAAACCAGAACCAAACCAGAACAGAACCAGAACCAAACCAGAACAGAACCAGAACAGAACCAGAACAGAACCAGAACCCAATCAGAACCAAACCAGAACCAAACCAGGACCAAACCAGGACCAAACCAGGACCAAACCAGGACCAAACCAGAACCAAACCAGAACCAAACCAGAACAGAACCAGAACAGAACCAGAACCCAATCAGAACCAAACCAGAATCAAACCAGAACCCAATCAGAACCCAATCAGAACCAAACCAGAACCAAACCAGAACCAAACCAGAACCAAACAGTAGAGGCCAAATCTGGGTACATTTTTTCGTAGCACATAAAAATCTACTTCATAACTTTTTTATAATGATATCCAGATAGCGTAAAAAAACTTGAGTTTTCAAAATTCTTCTACTGGAAAAAAAGTTATTAAGATCAACGTGTTAGCCTAATTGTCTAATTTGCCCAGATAGCCTAATTTTCATGATTTTATAAGGCTTTCATTGTAGAATTTTTAGAAAAACAAGAATTTTCTCGTTTCTGATTTGTTTTAAAGCTTCAAATTTCTCTAAAAAGTTAAATATAATGATGTAATGTAATGATAATCTTTTTTAATTTAAAGCAAATCACAAAATTAGCGACTAATTCTTCATTTCTAAAGGAAAATTTCACAAAAAAAGCCGAATTTTCGGCTAAACTGATAAATTACGAAAATCTTTTCTATATATTAGAATAAGAATTTATTCGAAAAATGATTGAATAAAAAGAAGAGAGAGCTCTGAGAAATCTAACGATTCATTATTGACTGTTTATCGCAAAGATAGGGGCATAAATTCTCTCAGTGGCGCAACTCAGAAAGCTATTTCAAATAGAGAAGAGACTCTCTTTCTTTCTTTCATAAGACGCGCCTTTTTGGGGGTCAGCTGGGGGAAAATCGTTGGTGGAGTGAATGAAGATGAGATAGAGAAAAGAAGAAAAGAGTTCTTTGAGGGAAAAAGGGAAGACTGGGCGAAGGCGGGAAGCACACATTGAGAGCTGACCCTGCATTAGACTTGTTCTCTTGTGCACTTTGTACGAAAATGTAAACACAGCCTTTTTGGTGCAGTGAATGTTTCTTCTTTTTTTTTTCCGAGCCGTGCAAGAAAGTCGAGGATTCAGTGCGCCAGAAAGGATGTGTTTACAAATTTGAGCAGAAACAGGTCAAAGCCTAATAGCTAGTGCAGGTCAAAGCTAATGCAGGTCAAAGCCTAATAGACCCACTCTGCTAGGTATGCTAGGTTTATACTTAAATTTTCTCACTTGTTTTGCAAAAAAGCAGAAAGATAAAGGTTGCATGCGGGATCGAACCCGGCCGTCCTGAACTAGAGACCAAAGACCTGGCACTGAGCCATGCTGACGAGTTGACCCAGCCCCTTTTAGCCGTTTGATCTCAAGGATCTGCTCAAAAAGAGATCTCAAGGATCTGCCCGATCACGGCTGCTTGCAGGATCGAACTCCCGGTCCCGGAACGAGAGGCCAGCGCTCTCGCACTGCGCCATGCCGACAAGTTGGCAAGGATCTTTTTTCGTGCAGTTTAATCTCAAGGTCCGTGTGGCAGAAAAGAGGCTGATTTATATACAAAATGGCCGCATGCGGGATTGAACCCCAACCCCCCCAGAACGCGAGACAAGCGCTCTGCCACTGCGCCACTCAGTTACCACTGACAATTTGTCGCATCCCCTTTTCACCCTCTGATCTCAAGGATCTGCTCAAAAAAAATCACAAATTTGTAAAGGTCACGGCTGCTTGCGGGATCGAACCCCGACGCCCCGGATCGAGAGGCCAGCACTCTGGCACTGCGCCACGCTGACAATTTCTCGCATCCCCCTTTTCGCCCTTTGATCTCCAGGATCTGCTCAAAGAAAGCACACATTTGTATAGATAACGGCTGCTTGCGGGATTGAACCCGGGATGCTTGCGAGACGCCCCAAAACATGAGACCAGCGCTCTACCACTGCGCCAAGCTGATAAGTTGGTGTCCATCTTTTTCTCGACCTTTGATCTCAAGAAACTTGCTCGAACCGGATTTATCAACACTTTTAATAGAAATGAAATGAGATTAGCCAACGAAACAGTGCCAAATTCAATGCAAAACAAAATTTTATTGATGAGAGCAGGCTGGCTGAAGAGGACAGCCTTCAATTCGCCCAGAGATACACGAAAATACATATGAACTTGCAGTCAGTCATGCTGTGGCAGGAAACGAAAGGGAAAAGAAAGGGAAAAGAGCCACTCTATAAAACCACTCTATAAAGGGATTACATTCCCCTTTCCCTCTCCTCTCATAGTCAGCTTGTTTTTGTGAAATCAATCCACATTAACATCAACATCTATTCGTTAGTTATCTAGCGATAAAGCTCAGTTCTACATTCGTATACAAGTTCTCGCCTGTAGAAGTTCTCTCCTATAGAACTGTAGAGTAGAACTGTCCTATAGAACTATCGATCGATCAATGTTTAATCCTTAAAAAGTAGTCATCAAGAGTCTGTTCTCTGTGTTCACCTTAAACGCATCCTTTCTGGTGCAACAAGCTGTGATCAATAGACAAATAGACAGCAAAGAACGCACAACTCACCTCAATGTGTGTCACTGAAAAAAAAAAATAGCACTTGGTAACTGATTTTGGTAGCGAAACGGTGAAAAACAGTGAAAAACAGTAAAAAACAGTGAAAAACCGAGCCAATTGATTTAATTACTCAATTTAGAAACTAAGAAAGCGCTATAATGTATAAAGTTAGGTATAAAGTTAGGTATAAAGTAACTTAGGTATAAAGTTACCACAAAGAAAACCTTTTGTACAAACTTTTAACCCTTTTAACCCTTTTAACCCTTCTCAATTCTAAAAGAAAACTTTTTTTAAGAGAAAACTTATTCCCCAATCGATTCTGACATCAAAGCGTTCAAACTTGTGTGTTTTTGAGAGCAATCATTGGCCTCTAAAATACTCCAAATAAAAAAAATCCATTACGTTTAGATCGGGTGAATTCGGGCACCACTCATTGACGGTGATCACGTTGGGGAAATTGGGGAAAAAAAAAGGCATACTTGTCTAGAATACAAATCAATCATATCTTTCAATATTCAAAAACAAACGAATAACTGTAAAAACAAAAGAGAATCATAAAAACAAATTTGAATCATAAAAACAAATTTGAATCATAAAAACAAAATTTTTCCTCAAATGGACGTGTGCTTTTATGTTTCGGAAACGATTTGAATTCGGAGAACGATAAAATGGGACAGGATTTCGGAATGGAAAAAGAAGAAATGGATAAAATCTTGAATAATACATTCGGAACAATAGCTTTGCAAGTGGAAAAAGAAATTATGGAGAAAAAAGAGAAATGGTCTTATCTCGGGGATTTCTTCTTTGAGGAAGTGTAGAGATTGTGTGCTAAGAAAAGAAAAGCCAGCAAATGGTTTCTGGAATAGTTATTTAGATTTAGAGAGACTATTTACAAGTAAAGCTTTATTAGCTCAAATCCAATTCAAATCTAAGTCAAATTTGCATCAAATCAGAATTCAGACTTTTCTAAAAAATACCAAATTTCCTCTAATAAGTGCTCCCAACTTTAGACGCTTCGTTCTGAGCCCCCACTTTGAGGGTTTTCTTTTGTTTAATGTACTAAAAGATAGCCCTTAATATCTTCTATCTTTTGGTATATTAAACAGAGAAATATCTCAAAATTGGGCTGAGAACGAGGTGTCTAAAGTTGGGGAAGGGGCGCTTACTAGAGGAAATATGACCAACTTTGGACCCTTCGTTCTTTACCCCATTTTGATAGATTTCTTTTGTTTTATATACTAAAAGATAGCTCTTAATGTCCTCTATCTTTTCGTATATTAAACATAAAAATATCTTAAAATGGGGCTGAGAACGAGGTGTCTAAAGTTAGGGAGGGGGCGCTAGAGGAAATACGACCAACTTTGAACCCTTCGTCCTGAGCCCAATTTTGATAGATTTCTTTTATTTAATAGACCAAAAGATAGCTCTTAATGTCTTCTATCTTTTGGTATATTAAACATAGAAATTTCTTAAAATGGAGCTGAGAACGAGGCGTCTAAAGTTGATCGAGAGGGGGCGCTTATTAGGAAATACGATATCAAAGTTCAATCTCATTATATTCATCTAAATTAGAAAAGCCAGCTTTATCGAATAATAAAACAAAATTTGGTCAGTATTTCAGATCTAGAAAGAGGCTGTGACTGGATGGCTTATCTAGAGTTTGAAGGGAAAGGGAAATGGTGGAAAGGGTATGATTGGAAGGGAAAAGATTGAAGAGAAATGTATGAAGGGCCGATAATCAAAGAGAAAACAGCCACCCCTTTCTTTCTTTCACTCCATCTCTCGAGAGACACCATTTCGATAAACGACAAACATTTCAGAACATTTCAAACACTCAGATTTTGCGAGATTTACGATCTTTGAACAGTGAGCGTTGGCTAAAGTTTGCTCAAGCTAGTGTATCCCTGATGATGTAACTTGAAAAGATTAAGCAGATCTGCTAGATCTGGTAGAGCTGCTAGAGCTGCTAGATTTGCTAGATCTGCTAGAGCAGCTAGATTTGCTAGATCTGCTAGATTTGTTAGATTTGCTAGATCTGCTAGATTTGCTAGATCTGCTAGATTTGTTAGATTTGCTAGATCTGCTAGATTTGCTAGATCTGCTAGATTTGCTAGACCTGCTAGATCTGCTAGATTTGCTAGATCTGCTAGAGCAGCTAGATTTGCTAGATCTGCTAGATTTGCTAGATTTGCTAGATCTCCTATATCTCCTATATCTCCTATATCTCCTATATCTCCTATATCTCCTATATCTCCTATATCTCCTAGATCTGCTAGATTTGCTTAATCTTGCAAACTTTGCTTGTCTTTATTATATCTATTATTTATCTAACTTATTTAACTCTATAAGAATCCCTTAGATAATCATCTAGACATTCCCCAGCCGCAGATAATTAGATTACCACCAAGCAAATGCGCCTAAAAATATCCAAGACAAAGAAAAGCTACAACCCTTCTATAGAAAAGCTACAATCGTTCTATAAAGTACTTTAAGAATTCGAGTTTTAAGAGTTAGGAATTGGTCGAAATCTAAAAAGATTGTTTCTAGAATAGTCAATAGTTTCTAGAATAGTCAATAGTTTCTATTTTGCGTTAGAAACCGCAAGAAAGTCTAAAAGAGATCACAAATAAAAACATTGGCCATCAACGGTAGTGAAAAAAAGGTGTGAAAGGACACACTTTTCAGTCACCAAACGATTGACTGACTGGAAAGAGAAGCTTTCAAGGGAGAGAGTGACAGGAAAGAAGGACAGAAGCCTTTTCACTCTCTTTCCCGAGAACACAGTCGGTCACCCCCTCCACCCCATGAATGGGAGTCGAATAGCATCGCCTCCGGAAGTGAACGAGGAAAAGAGGGGATTGTTGCTGTTCTGCTCTCTTGTCACATTTAGCTCTGGAGTTTCGACCATGGAAACTGGTTTTTTCTACTTATTATAAGCGAGAGAGTCTGTCTGTCTGTCTGTCTGTCTGTCTGTCTGTGTCTTTCTGTCTGTCTGTGTGCGTCTGTCTGTTCTTGTTTCTTGGTTCGACCCTTCTGCAATGCTGGAGTCTTTTTTGAACGTTTCAGAATTCAAATTATGAGTAGAAATTGAAATTATACTTGCTAGCTTGCAAAAAAACATAGGCCATTACAAAAAAAAACAAAAATCGTCAAAGTGTAGGTTGAAGGATTCAAATACGGACGTCCGATTCAGAACCGGACGTCCATTATTGAATAGATTGATCTAATACGGTTCCAATACGGTTCCAATACGGTTCCTTTTTTGATCTAATACGGTTCCAATACGGTTCTTTTTTTTTATCTAATACGGTTCTTTTTTTTGATCTAATACGGTTCCAATACGGTTCTCGATTCAAAACCGAACGTCCATTATTCAATAAATTCAATAACGGACGTCCAGTTCTAAATCGGAAATCCAATAACGGACGTAACATATATCACCTTGCTAAACTATATCAGAAATTAGACGTGGGCACTACAAACGCTAACTTGCTTCAAATCTGATGGATTGACATGATCAAAAAAAATAGAGAATCTCAAGAGCTTTCGAATGAACTAAAGCACAATCAAAAATATTAATTCTAAAGAAAGTTACAGTGGTTTGTAGCATGACTCGATAGCTTCGACTACGCGCGTGTACGGTCCGTTTCCCTACAAACCACTGTAACTTTCTTTAGGATTGATATTTTCATGTCCGTTCGAAAGCTCTTGAGATTCTCTATTTTTTGAGCTATAGATCATGTCAATCCGACAGATTTGAAGCAAGTTAGAAGCGTTTGTAGTGTGACAATTCGTCATTTTTGTATTTTATGTTATGTTAAGATCTTCTGATTCTATTTTGAACTATCAATAAGCAAAGTATCGACGGAAATAAAATTTGATAACTCATTCGTTTCTAGAGTATTCTTTTCTTCGTCTTACTTTTGTAAACCACATACGTTTTAACCATAATCACATAGGCCAGGAGTGGTTCTAGATTACTTTGGCCTACATTGAAAAACAAATCTTTTACTGTTGAATTGCTACAGGCTCAAATATTGCAGCTGAATGCTGAATTGCAGCGACTACGCCGTCGAACAAATCCCGTTCCTAAACGGTGTTCCGTCTGCGCAAATCGACGTGCGCTCTCTCCTTGGGTTGAGCCCCCCCTCACACGCCCCATCCACCCGCATCCAGGCCACGGGGACATGAGGAAGAGCCACACCCAATGCAACTTAATTAAAATCGGCGCTCTGTCTCTCTTTTTGCTCAGCGTGATGACGATTAGCTCATTGAAAAACTCGCCGATTTCTATCGTCTCCGATATTTTATCAACCGAAATCTTGTAAAGAAACCATTCCGCTTCTCACCTATTTCTTTGAACTTTAACCTTACTGAATTTACAAAAGGTTAAAGTTGAATTTTACTTACTTTTACACGTTTACAACTTACTGAATTTACAAATTCTAAAACTTTTTTTTTAAATTCGAAAGCTGTTTTTTAAATTCTAAAACTGTTTTTTTAAATCATTGCAAATTCTCTTTGTTCTCTCTTTGTTCTCTTTGTTAAAAAGTAAAAACGATATTAAAGGCAAATTAAGCGTCCGCGAATTAAAGCAAATTAAGCTTCCGCTTCCGCAAGTTTGAAAGGTTTGGTGAAAAAATTTTTGCATTTTTCAAACAATTCAACGAATTTGTTGACCAATCTCTGCATTTTCTTCAAAAACGGCTCTTGTTTTTATAAAAACCTTGAAAACTGTATGTTTTGCTTGCTCTGATGAGTCAATGACAATGACAAAATCAGGACTGTGACTAACTTTGATTTCTTCATCGTTTCTTTGTTTTGGAATCTTTAAAGTTCTTTTAAAATTTAAAATTAACGTTTAAACCTTCAAGTTTAAAGTTTAAATCTTTGCATTTTTTTTATGTTGCTTCTTGTTGTTGCTGTTTTTTATACAGTTGCTTCTTCCAAATAATTACTCAGTTTTCAGGTCGATGAACGCTCGCAATCAGTTCAACTTCCCGGATGAAGAGGACCAGTATTGGAATGAGAACGGATCGACGAACTCTTCGTTTTTCGATGATCGACGACCGAACGAGCTGCTCGCGAAGCATGAGTTGACGAGAATGGCCATGGATAATCTATTCGAAGATGTGAGGACACCATGTGAGCCGTCGACCAGCAAACAGCCACCACCACCGCTTCAATCAATGCAAACAACTCCCACTTGGAAAAACAATGTTGTTTTTACTGCTGGAGCGACCAAATCAGCTACCACGACACCATTGAAAATGGAGGCGCCAAGACTTCCGCCGAAAGCTCCATTTCCTGATATTGGATTGAAACCAGCGGCTTCGGTTGTATCAATTGCTCCATCGGAATGCAGCGTTTCGTCGTTTCCTTCTGACGCACAGCAACAGGGAAATCGACTACAATAGGTTGAAAAACGAACACCGAAAATTGCAGCGACACTTTGAGATGATACGCGCTGAGCGATATAAAGCGCCCGATGTGCGTGAGACGACGCGGAGATTGTTCATGAATGAGCCGGTGGCTTTGGATTTGTACAAGTCGAAGGCAGAGAAACTTGCTCTACTCGACGCGGCTATTGAAATGATTGATGGGAATGTGATCCTAGCTGTTGTGTTTTTTATTCAACGAACTGTTTCCGAGTCAATCTTTCGAGAGATTTTACTGCAAAAACCGAAAGCCGCTGAGCAGTACATTCAGTATTTGAAAGATGCAAAGAATGTGGACGAGTTGATGACAACGATGTGTGCATTGGGAAGGACCACTGAAGCGGCAATGGTTGAGTTCAATGTTGCTATGGAGGCAAAAACAGTCACTCAGAAAGTGATCCTCCTGAAGAAAGCCTTGGGGTCAACGTTCTTGGATCCAAATCTTCAAATGGAAAGAGAACAAGTGAGGAGGTATTTGGATTTAGTCGAAAGACAAACACAAATCGAGGTCACTGACTCTCAGGACAAGTCGAAGTTGTTCACCGATTACCCGAAAAACGCGTCTCTGATTGGACAACCGGCGATCCATACTTTGTACTACTCTTGTCTGTACCATCACGATGATCCAACCACTGCACAGGCATCACCACAAGCAATCAAAGATCTTTGCCATTTGAATGATAAACAATTGACATGGATGTCGATTCAAACACTTGTGAAACAAAATCGATGGCTTGACATTGAAAAGGCGCTGTGCCCGCGCAGTTTGATTCCAAATCTCGGCAAAACGAGCGGGTATTTGAAGGCGAACGTTGTGCCGATGGTTCATCTCTTGAGGCTTCTACATCTTGACAAGGCTCAACCGCCAAAAGATCTCGTTTGTCGTTTGTTGCGAACTCTTCCCAATATGAATGACAAGTTACGATTCGCGGAAAAGTATATGGCCACAGAGGTCGTCATTGAGTGCACACAGCAGCAAAAGGATCGCACACGTTTAGAGGCGTATCTGAAGAAGTTGACGCCTCATTCTTCGGATCATTATAAAACCCTGGCTGCTCTTAATAATTCCAATGCTAAATGGAAATAGTTTTTTTGTTGTGCTATCTACTCTACGGTTTCTTTTCAGCATAATTCGGGTTTAGTTTATTCTCTTTTTCTTTGCTTGTCAAGTCTTTCTTTTGATAAGTGAACTGTGATACATTTTCTCTGCTCATTCACTTCAGTTTCCTGTGCTTTTCACTTTCGAGCTGTATCTCTATTGTTTGGATGAAAAAATCTCGATCTTTAGGATGTCGTCGGGTCAATCGACATCAGAAACCTCGACGGCGATTGGTGGGCCGCCACCACCGGCTCCTGGACGGGTAAAAACTTTATTTATTTAGCTTTTTTGGTAAATTTGATAAAAATTAAGATCTTAAGAAATCTTACCAAAGAAATCTCAAGATTTCAATAGACAAGATTCAAGCTCAACGTTCGGGTGATTCTCTAGATTTAGATACTAGCTAAATGCTTGTGCTAAACTAGCTAAACCTAAAACTCGGCAAGACCTAATTTTCTGATTAAATTTTTAAGAGCCAATTCAATTCCAATTTTTAGGTATCATTTCGTGATCTGTGTTGCCTCTTTTGTTGCCCACCTCTTCCATCGAGTATCGTCAGCAAACTAGCTTTTATGCCGCCCGAGCCGTGCTATTCGATTACCGATGATTCAAGGTTGGGCAAATGTTTTCTTTTAACAATAAAAATTTTGTTTAGGTTAAATTTGATCGATGGACGAGCCGAGTGGCCACATGAGATTGAAGAGCTTCGTTTGATTGAGGTACTTGTTGTTTTGTTGATTGTTGATTCGGTTGTATTGTTATGTTGTATTGTTGATTTTTAATTAAATTTTAGATGTTTACGACCCGGACAAGACGGAGAAACAAAATCGCTTGCCTCTACGTGCGGCCATGCGGTGATGCAGCACGGTACACGCTCCTCTTCTCGCACGGAAATGCTGTCGATCTCGGACAAATGAGTAGCTTCTACTATGGACTTGGATACCGCTTGGGGTGCAATGTGTTTAGCTACGATTATTCAGGTTCAGTTTTATCATAAATTTACTGATAGATAGAACTGATAGATAGATAGAAATTTAAAGATTATAACAAGTTTTTGGATAATAAACAAGAAAGTCTTTATGATTTAGTTAATGGACTTTTTAAATTTCCAGGTTATGGTTGCTCGACTGGTAAAGCTAGCGAGAAGAACCTCTACGCCGATATTCAAGCAGCTTTTGAGGCTCTTCAAACAAGGTGATTACTTTGCAAAATCTTTTGAACAAAACAATAATTTTATGTTGAGATTTGGCTTATTTTGAAGTTTAGATATGACATTCCTGCTGAGCGGGTGATTCTCTACGGGCAAAGCATCGGAACGGTGCCTTCAGTGGATTTGGCTTCAAAACATCCCGATGTGGCTGCTTTGGTGATTTGTTTTGCACGTTTCTTCATTTATAAGCTTTCAGATATTACATTCTCCTTTGATGTCCGGAATGCGAGTTGCCTTTCCGGGAACACAGCGAACTTGGTGCTGCGATGCTTTTCCTTCAATAGGTTTGGCTTCATTTTTAGAAAGTCTACTTTGTATTTTAGAAAAAGTACCCCGGGTCACTTGTCCTACTCTTGTTATACATGGAACTGATGACGAGGTAAACTGAGTTTAAAGCTTTAATGTTAAACTTTCAATTAGGTTATCGACTTTTCACATGGAGTCTCGATTTATGAGCGATGTCCGGCTTCAGTGGAGCCATTATGGGTTCGTTTTCTGGAAATACTTGATCAGTTTTGACGAAGAGAATATCTATTGTTTTAAGTTGTTCAATTCTTTATCCAAAGCTTGTTTTAAGGTTGCCGGCGCTGGGCACAACGATGTGGAGCTGCACGCGGCTTACTTGGAACGACTACGACTCTTCATCGAAAGTGAGGCCGGCAAGAAACCAGCCACCACTCAAGCTTATCAACCAAATGGGTTTGTTTTTGTTTGAATCAAATGAAAATAATCAGAATACACCTCAAAACTTCATTTTCTCAAAATATTGCTGATTTAGAGCCATCAAAAGTACGCGTAACAACGACTCGGCTCGAACTGCATAAATGCAAATCTAATTTTTCTTATAATCCTTCCTCGCTTAATACATGTACGAGCTTTGTTGGCAATATCTAAATAACTATTCTTTTTTGTTTGTTATAACCAAATATATTTGCGTGCAATTCGAATGCATTTTCTTATTTTCCCCCGTTGACTCATTCCATTGTTGCATAAGATTTTTTCGGAGATTTCCATCGAGTTTTTCATATTGTTGTATCTTTTCACCACATTGATTAGTGCTAGATCTCTTTACCGAACTCTTTCTTTAGGCATAATCGTCCATAGGTTCTAATGAATTTAAGCTGGAGAGTACACCGTCTATATTTATTCCCTTTTTTTTATTCGAAAACCGATCTGCCTTCTCTCGTGCAATCTTATCATTTACATTCATTTGAGTTTCCCATTTTCTTCTTGAACATCTTTGTATTCTTTCTTTTCCGTCGTTGAAATTTGCATATTCACATCATTATTTCGTCATTTGCTCCAATATTTTCGATTTTTGCCCAAGTGATAGGGCTTTATGTAAATAAAAATAAACGCGAAATGGTTTTAGGCAAAGGAAACCCGACAACGATGGCTTGGATTTTGATGCTAATCTTTAGAATATTTCGGACGTTTTAGAAAACGCTTGACATCAAAAAAAACGACTGTGAAAGCCAATCGCGTTCTCAACTTCCAGAATTCGGTTTCTCAACTGCTTGAGAAACCGAATTCTGGAAGAGAATTTTCTTATCGAAAATTCCGAAAAACGGCAGTGGAAAAAGTGGAAAAACGGCCTAGAATTGAATGAATTCATTTAACGATCTCTCCTTTTCACGGTCTTATCAATTCCAAAATTCTCAAGCAAAGTGTCAAATTTGTGCCAAACCTTTGTGGGAAAAGATTTTCAAATAATTCAAAGGATTTTCACTCAATCTTTCTCGAATTACTATTTTCATTGCAAATCATGATCCCTGATCGAATCAAGCAATTGATGAACAAAGGCGACAAAGTGGCGCTGAAACCGATGCCTTTGCCGGATCACAGGAGTTTGACCGATTCGAGCAGTGTTTCTAGTGAAACGTCACAGGATGGAGGAAGTGGTGAGAAGGATTTTGAGAGTAAATATTGTAATTTATGACATGGAGTAACTTTAATAACTTTAAAAATACTTTTGTCCTTTTTTGCTGATCATTTTCATTGATGGATAATGCTGGGTAGACCTGGTATGACGACTTCTCCAAGCCTCGCCAGAACCCTGGCTTTCTCTGACGCTTTCTCTATAAGCCAGTCAGGCTAGAATCAGCAAATGGCAGTACTTCTTTGCCGTAATCGTTTCCGTAATCGTTTCGCCCGGATTCAGAAAGCTGTGATGGATGAGACCGGCTGCGGACCACCAAACAGTCACCATAACCTTCTTTTGGTGCAAATTTGGCTTTGGAAAGTATTGTGGAGCCAGGCTAGAATCAGCAATTGGACTCAAGTTCTGGGTTTGTTGGTTGACTGTTGGTTAGCTGTTGGTTGGCGCTGCCTTTAAAACCTAGACTCTGCCTGGCTTGAGCTAGGTCATGGCTAGAAGCTGAATCGAGTCTATCACTAATGCCTGGGCATTAGTGACCTGGGCCTGACCTGATCAGCCTAGCCTTGGTGATCAGCCTAGCCTTGGTGATCAGCCTAGCCTTGGTGATCAGCCTAGCCTTGCTGATCAGGTCAGGCCCATATCTAGCCCGCCCTATGCAAAGATCTGGCTTTAAAATCCTTGCATATCCTTAACTTAAGACTTGAGCTTGATTAGTCTTGAACTATTAAGTCTTGAACTCTTGAAACTCTTGAACTTTTAAACATTCCTGAGAGAGAACAATTCTAGACTGGATATGTTATTTTTTGGATTTTTTGAATTTTCCATATTTCCTTTCCTATCTCTCAAGAAAACCTTCTTTTTACGACCCTTCAACTACAGCTTTTTGATTCTGCTAATTTCTCTTTTCAACAGAGCGAAGAGATAAACAAGAAGAACCAAAAGTCGAACACCTTTTATCAATTTCTTGGGAATTAGTTTTTTTTGAATCAAATCGATCAAATAGATCCAATAGATCAAATCGATCAAATCGATCAAATAGATCAAATGGATCAATCCAAAATAAATGAAACTATTTAGAGGCACTCGCCATCTACAGCTCACCGGTCAACAATCCTAAATACACGTATTTGAACTTTCGAAAGGGTGATCGATTGAGGGTGATCGCTGAGACGTGAGTGACTACTAACTTGTGAGCTTACTAACTACCGTTTACTTACTGTGAGCTTACTAACTACCATAAATACTGTAATAGTACCCCACCGCCCTCGTACAGTCGCGTAGTCGCAAAAGTTTTTAAGCATTTTTTAGTTTTTAGTATTTTTCAAAGCGTCCGTACTTTCAAAAAATGCGTCTTTCGTATCAAAAAATAGCTGAAATTCAGGGCTATTTTTTGATACCAAAACGAACATTGTAGCATAAACCAGTGTCGAGAAAAACGCGTTCAAAACTAGACTACGCAATGCTCCGCACCTTTTTTCACTTTTTTCAAAGCACCCGTACTTTCAAAAAATGCGTCTTTGGTATCAAAAAATAGCTGAAATTCAGGGCTATTTTTTGATACCAAAACGAACATTGTAGCATAAACCAGTGTCGAGAAAAACTCGTTCAAAGCTAGACTACGCAACACTCCGCCACCATCATGATGGGAGCGGGGTACTATTACAGTATTTACGGTATGTTTAAATTATAGTTCTAAATTGAATTATAGTAGAGAAAGGTTAAGCTAAACTAAGAGAAGCATATCGTAATACCTTTAATAGTAGCCCCTCCCCCCGATAATGCCGGTCGGAGCATCGCGTAGTCTAACTTTAAATGCATTTTTCTCGCCACCCGTTTATGCTACAGTGTTCGTTTAAGTATTAAATGAAAGCTGAAATTCAGGGCTATTTTTTGAGACCAAAACGAACATTGTAGCATAAACCAGTGTCGAGAAAAACTCGTTCAAAGCTAGACTACGCGATGCTTCGGCCGTCATTATGGGGGTGGGGTACTATTACAGTATTTACGGTAGCTGATGAGTTATCGCCAAAAATATCAGCGTACTGGAGAGCGATCAACTAGTACTCATTCAAGGGCTTGTAAAACGAGTTATGTATCTCCAATCGGGAAACTTTTAATAGATAAATGTAGCCAAGATTAAGGACTTCAATATTTTATATAACACTTAACAAAATAGAGTTGAAGTTGGTGCTTGGGAGCTAATCTATCAAAAAATCTAGGCCTGAGCTGAGTCTAGCTCTTCTCAGTTCTCAGTTCTCAGCTCTCAGCACTCAGCTCTCATTGCTTCATCAATTCTTGAACTTTCAGAAATGACAACTGGTGGCACGTCTACAACATTCGATCAAAAGAGATTGGCTTTGTACCGACTTCATACGTTTCCAAACTATGTGCAATCAAAAACGAGCCGTCAGTTTTTACAAAGAAACAATTGAAAATCGTTTTCTAGATGGTTTCACAATCATCTTCAACGTGAGAGCTCGGTCAGCACATTGGTAAGAAAATTTTAGCAAAACAAGTGAGAAGATGAACAGTAGTGACATCAGCTTACGGTAGACAGATGGACAGTGATGGTGCAGATAAAAAGCAGATGCAGATGCCCCAAAAGTTCTCTATTGAATTTAAGTCCGATGAGCAGACAGGCCATTCGAGAAAATCGATGTTGTGACGTTCCAAGAAAGGTGGATTGGCTGACATGAATTGAAGCATTATTCTGTTGAAAAATGTCACTTTTGTGCTGGAAGAGGAAGCAGTTGATCTGCAGTTGATCTGTTGATCTGCAGTTGATCTGTTGATCTGCAGTTGATCTGTTGATCTGCAGTTGATCCACAAGAACGTCCTGAGCCCGTATGCTATGCTCCAGGAAAAGTTCCTGATCTCTGATCTCTGAAAAGGTCTCTGATCTTTACGGCGGCACCTTTGATCTTTCGTCACGTAAAACATCCATAGTTTTCCCATGGAACGTAATTTCCTTCCAGAAAGTTTCCGGTAAAACTTTCGAAGAATCTAGATTTTCGAGGAAAAGTCGCTGAAGATGACCTACAAAGAAAATGAAACGCAAGTTGTCGCAAATTTCTTGAAGGATCCTTTCAAGAAGTCTTCGGGATTTCCTCAAAAGCTCACCGTCCAAAGCAGATCCTCAAGGACGTTCTAGTAATCGTTCGAGTTCATGCGACAAGTCACAAATTCTAAATCAAGAGCGTCATCCACATTGAAGGCCATAGCATCAATGATCCTTTTTCCTTCGAAATTTCGTCCACAAAGCATTGAATCCCAGGCATTCAGAAGGCACTTTTCTTCAAAATTTCAATAGTTTATGTGGTGAGCAAGCGGAGCAAGCTTTTGCCTCAAGAATGAACCAGACAGAGTAATCCATTGGATTTAGATCCAGGATGGCCATTCAGATTCAGAGCTGGATGGCCATTCAGATTCAGAGCTGGATGACCATTCAGATTCAGAAAAAGATTCAGAAATGAAATCGGAAAACTTCACTTTGTTTTCTTTGACGCTCTTCTAATATTTCGGAGCCGTCGTTAAGAAAGAAAGAAAGAGAAGATCAGAAGAAAGCCGAAGCAAAGCGTCGAGCGAGTCTGTGATTTTCTAGCCGTCGATGAGGAGTATTGTTCCTCAAATTCAAGAAGATTCAAGAAGCCTTCAAGAATTCAAGAAGCCTTCAAGAATTCAAGAAGCCTTCAAGAATTCAAGAAGCCTTCAAGAAGAACAAGTGCCAAGGCTTAACAAAAGCAGCAAAAAACAAAAGGCTTAACAAAAACGAATGGCTTGATGTCAAGATCTTCTTCAACAGGCGAGCAACATCGTTCCATCGTATTGTAGAGTTTGTAGAGTTCCGTTACACAGAGACGACAGTAATTAATAATAACCATTGCCCCTATAATTATAGCCAATTCTGTAGTTGATCTTGCCGTAACCAAGAACGATTTCAGCGACGCGACAACAAACTCTCGAAGGGCGCGTTTTTGGTGAGACCGTCGGCGCTTGAAGGTTTTGCCCTGGATGTGAAGTGAGCTAGGTTTTGCAGCAACAATGGCTGGGTTACTGTAGCTTTAGAAGCTTTAGAAGTAGCTCCGGATTAAGCCAGGCTAGATCAGAGAGATCTGTAAGCTAGATCAGAGAGATTTGTAAGCTAGATGAGACAAAAGCCTGCACTACTGTGAGTCAGACTAGCCAGAAGTGAAGTCAAGTAAAGCTAGACCCCAGAAGCCCGGTCTGGGGTCTAGCTGGACCCCAGAAGCCCGGTCTGGGGCCTCTGGATCCTGGATTCTGGCTATGATACTCTTTAGAAGTCAGGTTAGTCCAGAAGTTAAGCCTGGATTCTTTAAGGAATAGTTGGCTGCTGCAGGAACAGTTGACTCCTGCAGGAACAGTTGACTCCTGCAGGAACAGTTGACTCCTGCAGGAACAGTTGACTCCTGCAGGAACAGTTGACTCCTGCAGGAACAGTTGACTCCTGCAGGAACAGCTGGCTCCTGAAACAAACCTGGAACCCAGGATCTATTATAGGAATCTAACCGAGGTCAGGCTTGACTTCTGGACTGGCCTGACCTATAAAAAGTATCATGTCAATGCCATGTACTTCTACAATTTTATTAGAACAGTATTTGCCTTGCATTCAACAATCTAACAGCATTTTGGAATTTTCCAGAATCAGCCCGATCGGCGTGCGCAACTTCAAAATCGACACCGATGGTCAGAATTTCTTCATCGAACCCGAGCTACATTTCCCTTCGGTGCAAGAGCTGATCAAGTACTATCAACAAAGTACAGTTTTTGATTAGCCAGCTGATGGGAATCGTTTTCTAGATAAGTCGCGAGTGATGAATACAAGGCTGACGAATTGGGTGGTGCGCAGGAATCCGCCCACGCATCAGCCACACAAGTGAGGATTGTTTTCAGACTTGTAAGAGCGTTAAGCCTTGACTAGTTGTAGACTAGACTACTGTTGTAGAAATCCATAAACACACCCTTTCTAGTGCACTTGATTCGTCGCTAAACCTTGATTTCTTTTTTCAATTCCAGATTCGATTTCTGGGAGATCGATCGTCAAGAGATCGCGATCCGAAAAGTCATTGGAAGGGGGAACTTTGGAACGGTTTGCTTTCCAAAGTTGCGAAAACGGGGTTCGTTTAGGTTTCGTTCGGAATGTACAGTAAATTGCCGGTGGCCATCAAAGAACTCACCGAGAAAAGCGGGCTCAGCGATGGAGCGTTGAAAGAAGAGTTTGACAAGTGAATAATTCAAAGCAATGCTTACCCTGAGTCCTACAGTATCCCAAGACTCCTACAGTATCCCAAGACTCCTACAGTATCCCAGAACTCCTACAGTATCCCAGGACTCTTACAGTATCCCAAGACTCCTACAGTATCCCAGGACTCCTACAGTATCCCAAGACTCCTATAGTATCCCAGGACTCCTACAGTATCCCAGGATTCCTACAGTATCCCAGAACTCCTACAGTATCCCAGAACTCCTACAGTATCCCAAAACTCCTACAGTATCCCAGACCTCAGTCTCACAGTATCCCAGAACTCCTACAGTATCCTAAATTTGTCAAGCCGCATTTTCAGAGAAGCCAAAATTCTCAAATCGGTCCATCACGAGAATATCGTTCAACTCTATGGGGTAATTTCTAAAGACTCGAAACTTTATCGATCCTTCTAGGTCTCCAGTCTCGAAGCTCCCTTCTATATTGTGACTGAGTACATGAGTGGAGGATCACTGCTTGAGTACATGAAAGGAAAGAAAAGCCCGGACGGTCTCCCACCCAGCATCTCGCCCAGACAATCGCTTGATATTTTGACTCAGGTACTTTCATGGGAAATCCAAAGCTATAATACTATAGTACAAGGCAATCAAAAACTATATTACACTCTAGTTGCCGTACTTCACATTTAAAAGAATGTTTAGCATTTGTTCTTCTTGTAACTTGGCTTACAATTAGCTTGAAATTTAAGAAAACACAAAATTGTTTCTTTGATTCAAGCACCTAAAAATTGGATAAAACTACCGTATTCCTCAAAGTGTTATAGCACATCTTGTAGAGCTAAATGAGAGCTTTCAGATGCTATATAGCACTTATAAATACGATGTCTACATCTAAAGTTACTACCCCTCAAAACAGCACCACTTTTTCGAGGAAGATATAATTTTACCGAACTGTACTGTACTACTTTTACTGTACTTCCAAAATCACTTTACTTGAAAGATCGACCTATTAGGCTTTAGAAAGAGCTAATTTAGAAAGCCTAATATACCTAATATAGCCTAAATTTTGATTTTAAAGTTGTCCTTTCTTTGGACACAAAATGAAAAATCTCAGGTAGCCTCCGGGATGAGTTATCTCGAATCGGAAACTATCATTCATCGGGATCTTGCCGCGAGAAACATCCTTGTTGAGATCGAAGCCTGCGGAAAGCTCATCGTGAAGGTACGGTTAAACTATTTTTTTGAAATCCTGATTCTTGATCTTGCAGCTAAGCGACTTCGGACTGACTCGTCAGTTAGACGACGAGCTTTACTATATCAATCACAAGTTCCCAATTCGTTGGAGTCCACCGGAGGTGTTTTGTTTATAATGCTAACATTTTATAATTCTCAAAAATCTAGGTTCTTGAGTCGGGAAAGTTCAATGATCGCTCGGATGTTTGGTCGTTCGGGGTGGTGATCTTCGAGCTTTACACGAGAGGAGAGACACCATATAAAGAATTGGGAAATGGTGAGCACTCATAATAATATGGATGGGATGGAATAAGATGGATATTTGCTTGTGAGGTCTACGTAAAGGCTGTATTAGTGTATGGACCTTCCACCTTTGTGTTTCGCTTCGAAAGTCTTATTTCATATCGTCTTTCTGCTCTTCATCCACAAAATAGGATTTTGTGCATAGTCTCGTAGGTAGGTATGGTTTATCGGTTAGCAGAAAAGGCTGTTCTTCATGCCGTCTCCTCAACGGTGAGAAGGCTAGAAGAAGCGTTTCAAGATTCGTGTCATCTTCGACCTGGGCCAATGGCTTCATTTTCTCGGTAGCTTTTGTGATGGCATCTTTGGGATTTGAATCGCTGGTAATAAGTAAAGCATTTCAGTCGGCAAGCAGCTCCTTGGCCCGGGTTCTTCCTTCCTCCTCCAATAGGTCGGGCACTTTTTGGTTGAGTTCAACTTAGATCGCGAAAGATCGTTTGGTAAGCGTTGGTGGTATCGGCTTGGATCGTGGCTTCAGCTTCGCCGTCAATTGCTCGAGTAGATCGGCTTCGAGAGTCTCCAATAATTTCGCATTCTCTCATTCATCAGCCCTTACCTAAATTAAGGAATACAGCAGAATATGAATGGAATAATAAAAAAAAACAATGCAACTGTGCTAAATTAAGAAATATAGCAAAATATGGAGCGAAATAATAAAAGAAAACAATAGCAACTGTGCTAAATTAAGGAATACAGCAGAATATGAATGGAATAAAAAAAAAATACCGACTGGGGCTACCAGTGGTGAATTTATCGCATACACGAAATATATCAATCACAATACAACGACACACACAATACTAGGCTGTATCTTAACTTAACCCACGTCATGACAGACGGCTCCCTAACCCTAAGCTCAATGGGGAACTAAATAGCTTTTTTGGTGGTGAAGGGAAGATGACGATGAAGGAGTGGCTTGTCACTTTAAAGAACTGGGGCCACAACTACCAGACTGCCCTCCAGAAAACCTCTCAACCCGAAGGGAAAGGAAATCCGAAGGGGGTGACCATGTCGCATGTGGGGTTCGAACCCTCGACCTTCCGATTAAGATGAAAGACACTTAACCAGTCAGCCACACGTGCTCGTGCAAATATAGCAAAATATGGAGCGAAATAATAAAAGAAAACAATAACAACTTGCTAAATTAAGGAATACAGCAGAATATGAATGGAATAATAAAAGAAAACAATAACAACTTAAGGAATACAGCAGAATATGGACCAAAATAATAAAAGAAAACAATAAGCCCTTACTAGACAATTAGACCAAAAATGAAAATTTTTCTTCAAATTTTTCCTTTCACCCCGCGAAAAGGGCGCGTTTTAGAATGCGCCTTTACTCGCCTACGGTAGAATATACACAAAAATAACTTTTCAGCCCTCCAACCCGCTCTTTTGTTCAACCATTTGAAAGCTGGGAATAAGCTCCGAAAACCGAGTCGATGTCCACAAATCATTCATGATAAGGTACTTGTTTTGTGGATAAGATTGAATTGGAATGGATTGGATTGGATTGGATTGGATTGGATTGGATTGGAAAGATTTGATCTAAACTCTTATGTTCTTAGATCTAATTGTAACCTTACTAGGCACTAGATTAAAGGGGGGTATTAATCGCGGCCGGGTGACGATAAAAATTTTTTACGGCAACCACCTGTTTTTTTATTTTAATATCGCTGATTTTATTATAAAAAGAATAAAAATCACCCGGCTAGAGTGATTTGATGGGTTTACAAATTTTTGGAGATGCTGCAAGGCTTGGAGGAAAACAAGATCGTCACTCATCAGACACCTCAGCACAGTCTAGATCGATTGAGTTTTAGTTGCAGATAAATTTAAAAACAAAATAAAAAGCACAAAAAGTAATAAAAATAAATTGTTAATCTATAATTCTTCCTCTTGCTCACTTTCATCTTCGCTCAAGTACAGCAGTTCGGCTCAAGTACAGCAGTACAAATCGGCTTCCTATCTTATCAATTTCCAGCGCATCTTCACCAAAAGTGACTGGATCTCCTCCATCGTAGGACGTTGACGTTTGATTGACACAGTTCGATCTTTTTTCATTTGTGGTCGCTTATGGTTTTAGTTTTCTCAAATAGGTGCCTTTTAGCTGAGGTGTCCGATGAGTGACGATCTTGTTTTTCTCCAAGCCTTGCAGTGTCTCCAAAAATTTGTAAACCCATCAAATCACTCTAGCCGGGTGATTTTTATTCTTTTTATAATAAAATCAGCGATATTAAAACAAAAAAACAGGTGGTTGCCGTAAAAAAATTTTTATCGTCACCCGGCCGCGATTAATAACCCCCCCCCCTTTAAAGCTTTTAAAGGAAAAACTTTTTCAACTATCTCATTTTCTAGGTGACCAGTCCGTGTTTCCAATTCGCGCACCACGATCGTCCCGAGTTTCGCGTCTTGTTTAGAACGTTGAAGGTGAGCGCAACAAGCATCCAACAAATACATGCTATATTCCTATAGGAGCGCTGCGTGGTCTAAGTTTACACTCAAAGTACCGCTCATATCTCGACATCAGCACATTTGTTTTTGCTCGTTTAAGTATCAAATTAAAGTAGAGGGTGATCTTTTGAGATATAATACATATTTTTAGCATTAACCAGCCCTTAGAAAAAAATGATTGAAAAATGATGAAAAATCGGCTTTTTTTGCCATTCTTCAATCACTTGTTTCTAAGCTCTGGTTAATGCTAAAAATATGTGTTATATCTCAAAAGATCACCCATTTTCTCTACTTTAATTTGATATCTAAATGAGCACAAAACAAATGTACTGGTGTCGAGATATGAGCGTTTGTTTGAAGAGTAAACTTCGACTACACGACGCTCCGATAGAGGCTTTGATAGAGGCTTCTATTAGAGCGTTTACGGTATACATTTTTATATATTTTATTTATATGCAATATGTAAATGAAGGGGAATGTTTTAGGAGATTCCAATGGCTGAGATCGAGTCTTGTCGAGAGCAACAACCACCGCGGAAAAATAGATTCTAACAAAATAGCTTTTTGACTCGAATTCAAATCGTGAATTGTACATAGTATTGATAAATTTATTTTAAAATGCTCATGACAATGAATATTCTTCAAAATTCTTTTGTAATATTTCTTTTAAAATTATATAATCAATGAAAAACGTTCAAAAAAACAACCCGATATTTGCATTTCAACAAATGGCCAAAAATAATATTGGGTTGGGGACTATGACTCGGCGCCGAAAACCAAAAAAATGTCTAAAACTTCTATTCGACTTCGTCAAATAATATGCGTTTGATATCAGTAGAATGGTTAACTAATTCTCTACAAAACGACATATAAAAGAAAATTCAAACAGCGCCTCCGCTCAAGAAAAAGCCATTTTTTCACAAAAACTACAAACTGTCATCTAGAAAAAACAATTGGTGGGATCTTCCTGCAAATTTGGCAACTTATGTAATTGAATGTGCTCTATCTTTTTTATATAAACACCAAAGAAGGTTTATGTGAAAGAAACTGTTCAAATGATGAGTCGGGCTCTTTGCCATTTTGACTAGCTGTGTTTGGGAGTCCATAAACTCGACGAAAGAAAAGCTTTGTGGAATCTCTCAAAAGTCATTTTGTAGAGAAATAGTGGATCCTTTTGATGAAACCAAACGTATATTTAAAGAAGGCTTTATGTGTGCAAAAAGTCCCTTTAAAGTTTGGCGCCGAGTCATAGTCCCCAACCCAATAGCTCATAAGTTAGCAAAATGCTGAAGATTTGCTTATTTTAGTCTTTGGATTCAACAATTGCACAGCTTAGAAAGAAGTCTTTGGCTTAGAATTCTTTGCTTTGTCTTTGCTTTGTCTTTGCTTTGTCTTTGCTTTGTCTCTGCTTTGTCTTTGCTTTGTCTTTGCTTTGTCTTTGCTTTGTCTTTGCTTTGTCTTTGCTTTGTCTTTGCTTTGTCTTTGCTTTGTCTTTGCTTTGTCTTTGCTTTGTCTTTGCTTTGTCTTTGGCTCAAAAATCAGATCGAAAACAATTCAGAAAAGACTAGGTGAAAAGGAAAAATAGAAATTCTAGTGAAAAAAATGAAACTGCTGCGCTAGAAAGGATGCGTTACCATACAAAGATACTTTGCGGATACAAAGTACACTTGTAGAACTTAGTTTTTAAACAAATTCCGGTTTTACTTGTTCCTGTCGAGTGGCCGCGTCGTTTAGATTCTGATAGCCGAACTGGAATGGTGGTGGCACGGGGATTCGATCACGGAAACGGCTGAAGATCATGGAAATTTTTGATTAGTGTCAACGAAATCTGATGCAATTCTATTATAAAAAGGCTCTAATGCAGCTAAAAAAGCTCTAATGCAGCTAAAAAAGATCAACTCACCGATAAACAAAGAAAACCGCTCCAGCAATCACTAACAACAAGATGAAATGTGGGAGAAATGAGCGGCCCTCACAGAGATCTCCCTGGAAAAGTTGGCTTAATCAACTTTTATTAGGTTAACGATTGTTCCAAAGTCTAAGCCAGAGTTGGTAGGACTTGGTAGGACTTGGTAGGACTTGGCTTCTGTTCTTGCCTGGTTTTAACGGCAGACTTGGGGCTATAAAATCCTGGACTTTGCCTGTGTTGGCTTGGAGCCTGACCTGACTTCTGATCTTGCATGGATTAACTATAGCCCTAGAAAATTCCCTGAAGCTGGCCTGGCTGGCTTATCCTGGCCTGGCTGGCTTATCCTGGCCTGGCTGGCTTGTCCTGGCCTGGCTTGGCTTGTCCTGGCCTGGCTGGCTTGTCCTGGCCTGGCTTGGCTTGTCCTGGCCTGGCTTGGCTTGGCCTGGCTGGCTTGGCTTGGCCTAGCTGACTTGGCTGACTTGGCTGGCCTAGCTGACTTGGCTGGCCTAGCTGACCTGGCTGGCCTAGCTGACCTGGCTGGCCTGACCTGCTTTAGTTTGGACCTGATCGAGCTTGATCTTAGCTTGACTCGACTGCAGACTTGGCTTCAGAAAATTTCCTGAACCTGGTTTCTGTTGTTTTACAAGATCTAGCTTCTGGTCGAACCTCTGCCCATGCCCTAGTTTAGATCTTGGACTAAAACAAACAAATATAGCACCACATCACCCCACCTTGAAGTCGAAAACGTGTTGATCGCGGTAATTCGATGGTGCCGCACATGTGGTTTCTCCCTGAAGAGTTTTTACATTTGTAAGTGAAAGATTTGTTGTTGAAAGATTGTTGTTTGTTTTTAATTGTTGTTTTTAAATGACTAACTGGCTGACTTGGCTGGCCTAGCTGACTTGGCTGGCCTAGCTGACTTGGCTGGCCTTATTTGTGATCTAAAGTGAACTCTGCTTAAATTTGCAACAAACCGCATTCACGTAATCGGTCGGGTTATTCCTGGCCATTTCAACAAACGGCATCAGCTCGCAATCGCAAACGAGGGGATTCTAAAAGTGAATTGAATCAAAAAATTAACTAAACTTGATACTTTTGAGCTTTTTTATCGATAACTTTGCTAAAATTAGATTTTATTTTATAAAACTGACCTTCGATATGTCAAACGCGTTCACATTTGGCAACATGTCGAACATTGACTTGGGGACTGTGGTCTGAAATGTTTCTTGTTAATGAATGAACGCTAATGAAATTGAATTCAATGTAGATTTTAGGTTGAGGAAAAAAAAACACGCGTCTGTTGAGTGTAAAAACAATTCTACAAGTCTATTCTACAAGAAATAGCAACTATCAATCAGTAAGGTCAATCCATTTTTATCGATGATTTCTTCCCATCTTCGACACAAGTCTTTGATTTTATTTGTGGAAAATTGGAGTCAAAATAGTTTGTCGAGCACTTTTTTGACTCGAGCATGATCATCAAACTTTTCTCCTATGATAAACTGTTTCACCTTGGCTTCGGGCCAAAGCCAAGGCTTCGGACCAAAGCTAAAGTTTTGGGCCAAAGCAAAAGGTTTCCGCCAAAGCTAAGGTTTTGGGCCAAAGCCAAGATTTCCGCCAAAGCTAAGGTTTCCGCCAAAGCTAAGGTTTTGGACCAAAGCAAAGGTTTCCGCCAAAGCCAAGGCTCCGGACCGAAGCCAAGATTTCCGCCAAAGCTAAGGTTTTGGACCAAAGCAAAGGTTTCCGCCAAAGCCAAGGCTCCGGACCGAAGCCAAGGTTTCCGCCAAAGCCAAGGTTTCTGCCAAAGCTAAGGTTTTGGACCAAAGCAAAGGTTTCCGCCAAAGCCAAGGCTCCGGACCGAAGCCAAGATTTCCGCCAAAGCTAAGGTTTTGGACCAAAGCAAAGGTTTCCACCAAAACCAAGGCTCCGGACCGAAGCCAAGGTTTCCGCCAAAGCCAAGGTTTCCGCCAAAGCTAAGGTTTCCGTCAAAGCCAAGGTTTCCGTCAAAGCAAAGGTCTCGGACGAAAGCCAGCAGTAAACTTGAAATTTCAGATCAAGGCCAATTGAAAGACATTGGTTTTAGCTTGACTAGCATTGGCTTTTTGCTTTCTTTATCTTTGCTCAGACAAGCAAAGCCAGGTCTTTGGCAAGCTCAGCCAAATTTGACCAGTATTTTCTATTCAGTGCTAGACAAAACTTATTGAAGATTTATAAGCCTTTTTGCCCATAAAGCTATAGGCCTTTTTGTCTATAAAGCTATAAGCCTTTTTGTCTATAAAGCTACGGACTACGGTGTAAAATTCCAACTCACAAAAGCGTTTCCAGAAAGCATGAGCTGTTTCAACTGTTGAAGACATTTCGGAGCCGCCGTGAAACTCGTCAACTTGTTCCCAGCTAGAATCAGCCTCGCCAAGCCGGCCACCTAAAGAATTTTAGATTTTAATTTGTTTAGGAATCAAATCTACCTTGCAAAATGTGTCCGGATGGATTTTTTCCAATCCGTTCTCACTCAAATCGATCTCCTAAAAGGTTTGATTATAGAAAATCGTGAATTGTAGCCAATTGTAGCCAATTACCAATTGTCGTAATGAAATTTGAGTTAAATTTTGCTTTTTCAAGTTTCAAGTGCAGTTCACTTACTTGTAACTCATCAAAGCCCCGGGTTTTCGAGTCGAACAGCACTGAGAGAAGGTCAGCTTTAGCACTGCCGCTTCTATAAGTCTCATTTTGTTTGTTAAACTTCTTTTAAAAGAAAAGAACTCACTTATCGCCTAATGCTTTCTTCAAATGCAATCCTTTCAACTTTTCCAAAGCCTCGAAAGGTCGTGAGTTCACTGAGGAGATCTTGTTCCCGTCCAAGTACAAGTACTCGAGGTTTGGAGTTGCTAAAATGGGTAAACTTTGAACTAAAATGGGTAAACTTTGAACTAAAACAAGTAAACTTCCGAAGCTTTGAAAGTAAAACCGAAATTCTCACCCTGAAACGTTTCCTTGCCGATCTTTGTCACTCCGCTTGATGTCAGATTCAATAAAGTGACCCCTTCGTGCATCTGAAAGGTGTAAACTTGAGATATTTTAGGTAGAGATAGCTAGAGCCTGAGATAGCTAGAGCCTGAGCTAGCTAGAGCCTGAGATAACTAGAGCCTGAGCTAGCTAGAGCCTGAGATAGCTAGAGTTTGAGATAGGTAGAGGCTGAGATACCTAGAGTTTGAGATAGCTAGAGCCTGAGCTAGCTAGAGCCTGAGATAGGTAGACGCTGAGCTAGCTAGAGTCTGAGCTAGCTAGAGTCTAAGATAGCTAGAGTCTAAGATAGCTAGAGTTTGAGATAGCTAGAGCCTGAGCTAGCTAGGGCCTGAGCTATCTAGAGTCTGAGCTATCTAGATTCTGAGCTATCTAGAGCCTGAGCTAGCTAGAGTCTAAGATAGCTAGAGCCTGAGCTAGCTAGAGCCTGAGATAGCTAGAGCCTGAGATAGCTAGAGTTTGAGCTAGCTAGAGCCTGAGCTATCTAGAGCCTGAGCTAGCTAGAGTCTGAGATAGCTAGAGCTAGTTTTTAGCATTCTCTCAATTCCCGGCACTCACCTCGCTGTCTCCGAAAATTGGGAAAGCGATATCGCCGAAACGATTCCCCGTCACAACAATCGTGTCCAAATGGGGGAAAGCGAGCGCGTGCAACTGAAAAAAGTGTACTTAGAAAATGATTTTGCAGTGATTTGTAGAAAAAGGAATCTATTTCAGAAAAAAGCAGCCAGTTTTTGCTATTATTCGATCCAGGAATCACAAATCTCAAAAGCAATACGAAAATTCGGCTGATACAAATGAAAACTGGCCGCTTGAGTACAGTTTTCTCGAATCGATGCCTTTTAGAAAGGCTTTAGCTGAGTATGTACGCACTTTTTAGCTACCAGCGTATCGTTTTAGAGTATCTAGCCTTTTTTTTTGTGCTAACCTGTTCGAAAACGCTCGCATCTTTGAAACCTCGCTCCAAACAGGTCACCGTTACTCGCTCACAACTTGAAAAAAGCAAATAAAATCGTAAAATTCTAAGTTTGCAAAAAAATGAGAAGCTTTCTGGATTTGATTGATCGAAAACTAATAATCAAATCTTGCTAATGGCAAAAAGGGGCGGGGCGCGTATAAAAAGACCCTTCGTCGTCGGCAATCTAACTTTGAGCTCAAATATCTTGGCGTTGGGTTGTCGGATTTGAATAGTTTTTATATCCTTAGATGCGCTAAATCATTCTCTATCGACTGATGCAAAAACTATTGAAATTGGACATCCCAACACCAAGATATTTGAGTTCAAAGTTAGCGTACGGCAAAAGGGGCGGAGCCAGATAGACCTTTTATACGCGCCCCCTTTGCTATTGCTATTTTATAAAAGGAAATTGCACAGCTCAACAGCCAAGGTATTTGAGTTCAAAGTTAGATTTGCCAATGGCGAAAGGAGGGGGCAGATAAAAGCCATACACGCCCGCCCCCTTTGCCATTGGCAATCTAGCTTTGAGCTCAGATATCTTGGTGTTGGGTTGGTCAATTTAAATAGTTTTTGTACCAATCGATAGAGAAAGACTTGGCGCGTCTAATGATATTAAAAAGATTTAAATTGACCAACCCAACACCAAGATATTTGGGTTCAAAGTTAGAGTACCAATGGCAAAAGGGGGCGTATAAAAGCTGGTCCATCTAATGGTCCATCTAATGGCCCATCTAATCTAGATTGCCAATGGCAAAGGGCGGGGCGTGTATGGGCCACCTTTTATCCGTTCAACTAACCGACATCCCCGTGGACAATCCGCTTCTTCTTGGCTTGGCAATCGCTTAGCTGAAGCTCGTCGTATTCTCTGAAATTCTATTGTAAGCTTTATCATTTATCGATAGATATCAATCGATAGATAACTCATTTTATATCATTTTATATCATTTTTCTATCATTTAATCTTATATCTACTGTATTTGGCTAAAAGGACGCTGAATTCACCATTTGCTCAGCTTCCACAACAGCGAATAGAACGAGCGCGAGCAGGCATCCCTTGTACCGCATAATGAAGAAAAGGAATGGAAAATATTGTAGAGATTTGTATTGTAGAGTTGTTTATTCGATTAAATATCTGGATAAGGTTTATCTAAAGATTTTTAGATATAAGAAGATGAAGAAGCTCTGCTAGAAGCTCTGCTAAAAGCTCTGCTAGAAGCTCTGCTAAAAGCTCTGCTAAAAGATATCAAACCAAAATCTCAATCTTTCCAAGGCTTTTTAAAAGATTAAGTACTTATGAGCAAGTAAAAGTCATAACTGCTAAAAATTTGATCAATCAAAGCAATCAATGCAATCAATGCAATCAATGCAATCAATCTCAACAATCAAAAATCTAGGTTCTCGAGTTAGAAAAGTTCAAAGATTACTTAGAAATTTGATCAATCAGTGTACTGAAAGATACAAAAAGTTGATAGATTAAAAAATCTTGAAAAACTATCGTAATCAAGACAAAAAACTAGACTTATAGTAGAATAAAGAATCGAAATGATACTAAACTTAAAAGCTAAAAGATATCCTATTAGCTAGGGTCAAAAGCTTAGACAAAGGCTTAGACAAAGGCTTAGACAAAGGCTTAGACAAAGGCTTAGACAAAGGCTTAGACAAAGGCTTAGACAAAGGCTTAGACAAAGGCTTAGACAAAGGCTTAGGCAAAGGCTTAGGCAAAGGCTTAGACAAAGGCTTAGACAAAGGCTTAGACAAAGGCTTAGGCAAAGGCTTAGGCAAAGGCTTAGACAAAGGCTTAGACAAAGGCTTAGACAAAGGCTTAGGCAAAGGCTTAGACAAAGGCTTAGGCAAAGGCTTAGGCAAAGGCTTAGACAAAGGCTTAGACAAAGGCTTAGACAAAGGCTTAGACAAAGGCTTAGACAAAGGCTTAGACAAAGGCTTAGACAAAGGCTTAGACAAAGGCTTAGACAAAGGCTTAGACAAAGGCTTAGACAAAGGCTTAGACAAAGGCTTAGACAAAGGCTTAGGCAAAGGCTTAGGCAAAGGCTTAGGCAAAGGCTTAGACAAAGACTTGCGTCTAGCACTAAGCCTATTTGAGTTTAGGTTAATCGTAAGTTTAGACTTAATAGTTTAAGCCTAATAGTTTAAGCTTAATAGTAAGCATAGTAAACAAAGTAAGCATTAAGAATAAAAGAATAATAAAAAGTAAATGAAAAATATAAAGGTGAGATATTAGTTCTAAGACTATGAGAAAAGGTGGGAGTGCCCAGAGGGAGAGAAATGGGTATCTCGATGTGCGATGGAGGAAATCGACCGATCGGGGAACGGAGAAAGGAAAAGAAAAGAAAAGGAAAGAAAAGGAAAGAAAAGGAAAGAAAAGGAAAGAGAAAAGACAAGAATTCTTTGCTTTTCTCTTCCCTTACTTTGTCTTTCCCCAATTCCTTTTTCCCTTTCTTTTCTTTTCCGTAGTAATATTGTCTCTCTTTTGCAGCTCTTTTCCATTCTATTTGTGCGTTCTCTAATCAACTTTCCCCCTAAAGAAAAAATAATTTTTTGGAAATTGATAAGATGTAGATTTTTGGTTTGTTCAAAGCTCTAAATAAAAATTTTGGCTTTGTCATTTGTCTTTGTCATTTGTCTTTGTCATTTGTCTTTATCATTTGTCCTTTATCATTTGTCTTTATCATTTGTCTTTATCATTTGTCCTTTATCATTTGTCTTTGTCCTTTGTCTTTGTCCTTTGTCTTTGTCCTTTGTCTTTGTCCTTTGTCATTTGTTTTTGTCCTTTGTCCTTTGTCTTTGTCCTTTGTCATTTGTTTGTTGTTCATTTGTCATTTGTCGGTTCATTTATCTGACTGGTAGATAACTAACTGGATTTTCCCTTAACCACCGAAGAAATTCATACCGTAAATACTGTAATTGAAACCCTCTCTAATAGAAGCTCTTGAGGGGGAGGGGAATAGAAGGCCCTCCCCTCTAATAGAAGCTCTCTTGAGGGGGAGGGGAATAGAAGGCCCTCCCCCTCTAATAGAAGCTCTTGAAGGGGAGGGGAATAGAAGACCCTCCTCCTCTAATAGAAGCTCTTGAAGGGGAGGGGAATAGAAGGCCCTCCCCCTCTAATAGAAGCTCTTGAAGGGGAGGGGAATAGAAGACCCTCCTCCTCTAATAGAAGCTCTTGAAGGGGAGGGGAATAGAAGCCCCCTTCCAAAATTCGCATTTATTTTGCTCTAAGTTAGCTTAATTTCACTTTTGCCTTAATCTCCTGTACACTTCTTGCTCATTTCGTTTTAATCTTTTCTTTTGTTTCTTTATTTTTCTACATTTTTTCTACACTTACTTTTGTGAGAAATTGAGTTGAAAACCGTGGATACGACAAAATGAACCGTCGATACGACATCTCGGTAATGCTGACAGGATGCTCTGACGGGAAGAAACTAAAGCCATTTGTGGTGATGTCAAAACGTTAGAGAAAGATCGAATCAAAATTTCAATTGAAATAATTGCTTTGTTGGAAAGAAAAGAAAAACAAAAGCTTGAAGCTGCTGATGTTTCTTGCACCGTTCAAAGCAATGATCTGACAACAGAGGATTGGATTTTGGCATCGGCTTCGGATTTGACAAGATCACAGGTGGTGGCAAGCTAAAACCTCCTTCAATAGACAGCTGGATCGCTTGAGCTTGAGCTTGAGCTTGAGCTGGATTGTGAATGCTTTGGACAAAAATGCTGTGAATGAATATGTGAATGCTTCGGAAAGAAAAGCATCCAAAAATCTTTTAAAAGATGTGGAATCGGAATCGCTTCAAATCAAGATGAAAACCACTTGATTCACTGTTTCAAACCACTTGATTCACCGGATGGTTCGATCTCTACAGAAATGCATATGCTACAGGAATGCAAGGATGCTTGCAAGGAGAAATAAATCGAAAATCTTCTAGATTGTCTTCTAGAGCCCTTCTAGAACCCAGGATTTCAGGATTTTCGCAAAGAAAATGATCCAGAAGAAGAAAATGATCCAGAAGAAGAAAATGATTCAGAAGAAGAAAATGATCCAGAAGAAGAAAACGATCCAGAAGAAGAAAACGATCCAGAAGAAGAGAAGAAGAAAATGATCCAGAAGAAGAAAATGATCCAGAAGAAGAGAAGAAGAAAATGATCCAGAAGAAGAAAATGATCCAGAAGAAGAGAAGAAGAAAATGATCCAGAGGAAGAGAAGAAGAAAATGATCCAGAAGAAGAGAAGAAGAAAATGATCCAGAGGAAGAGAAGAAGAAAATGATCCAGAAGAAGAGAAGAAGAAAATGATCCAGAAGAAGAGAAGAAGAAAATGACCCAGAAGAAGAAAACGATAATTTCGTTTACTCCAATGTTTCGATTGACTTTGATATCTAGTTTGATCATTTTCAATCTGTTTTTGCTATTGTTGGTTCTAAGCATTTGTTTTTGATGTTTATAATGTTTTTTTGAATAAAATTAGAAGAAGATTAGTTTATCGAAAAGAAACGAACAAAAAGGTATCACTACAGAGTCGTTCATAGTTATCGATGCAGATTAAAATCTTTATAGATAAACAAAATTCAACTTTAGAGAGCAAGCTTTATTTTAAAAATCTTTATTTGATATTGATACAACAAATTGATATCAATGAAGAACAAATTAACGATTAAATTCAAAGCTATCGCCATTTTTCGCCGAGGACACGTCATCGACACTGTCAAGCGTTTAGAAACGACCAAATTAGCATCATCTCATCCCAGAGCTCATCCCAGACTTTCAGAAGACTTTTCTTCAGAATTTCAACATTTTTATGTGGTTTTGAGCAAGCTTTTGCCTTGACAGAATAATCCATTGGATTGAGATCCGTCGAGCTGGGTCACAATCCGATGGATCCAGAAAGAGATGAAATTCGGAAACTTCACTTTGCAAAGATCTTGGACGTCCAAGCTTGCAAAATAGGTTTTTTTGAGTTGCGAAATTGTATCGTAAGTCTTTCCATTAACATAAATATTCCTCCCATGGATTCACTTGTCCTCGATAATACGGAGATAATAATGTATGGGCCATCTTGTCTGGACGATCTTGTATGGACCATCTTGTATGGACCATCTTGTATAGGCCACCTTTGTGGGCCATCTTGTATAGGCCACCTTTGTGGGCCATCTTGTATAGGCCACCTTTGTGGGCCATCTTGTATAGGCCACCTTTGTGGGCCATCTTGTATAGGCCACCTTTGTGGGCCATCTTGTATGGGCCATCTTGTATAGGCCACCTTTGTGGGCCATCTTGTATAGGCCACCTTTGTGGGCCATCTTGTATAGGCCACCTTTGTGGGCCATCTTGTATAGGCCATCTTGAATAGGCCATCTTGTACAGTAGCTCGTATCCCTTGCACACTTCTTTTTGTCTACAATTTCTCAAAATCAAGTACAAATCTACAATCATATGGCTCAAGTGAGAAAATGAGCAGGTCGTGCATTTGATCGGGAATTTCTCTCGGTGCCAGGGTGTTCCCCCCTCTCTCTTATCATTTGAAGGGCTCCATTTGGTCTCCGTTTTTTAAAGCCTTATAATCTTTTTCAAGCTCTTTTTCAAGCTCTTTTCAAGCTTTTTTAACTGTTTATCAAGCTCTTTTTCAACTCCTTTTCAAGCTCCTTTTCAAGCTCCTTTTCAAGCTCTTTTTCAAGCTCCTTTTCAACTCCTTTTCAACTCCTTTTCAAGCTCTTTTTCAACTCCTTTTCAACTCCTTTTCAAGCTCTTTTTCAAGCTCCTTTTCAAGCTCCTTTTCAAGCTCCTTTTCAAGCTCCTTTTCAACTCCTTTTCAAGCTCTTTCATTAATCCCTTTTTATTATGCACTCCTGAGATTAAACTCTGATTTATTTAGAGAAATTTGAGGATTTCTCACTGATTATAGTCAGATTTTCCTCATGAAATCCCGGAAATAAAAAAAAACTAGGGAATTTTTCAATTTGCATTTGAATATATGAGCTCATTCATTTCCTGTAGCTCTTGTGCTGTACTTTGGGCTTAGATTTGTAAACGGCGCACTAGCCTGGCGCACTAGCCTGG